GCGTTTTCTAGCTTGCACTGTCTGTACTCTTTTGGTCATAATTCCTCCAAATACGAACTCCGATTTGGATGATTCAAAAAACCATTGTTAAGCTAACAAATAGGACAGGAACAAATACCTTTTCATGAATTTAATGCCATCATTAAATGGGTCAAAAATCCAAGCTGAAGGTTACTGTTAAAATTTCCAGCAAAACCTGTTTCAACATAACTCAATCATTTTTACTTCCATTATATTCCAGAAATACCTCCCCTGTTTTCTCACCATTACCGTCCTCCCACTCAACATGAAAAGCAAGAATATTGTTCATTTAGGCACACACCACACAAATTCTCATGCAAAGAAATAGGTAAATGAAAAAGGATATCAAACTTTTACTCAAAAAGCTTGAGCTCTTCTTAATAGCTTCTTTTTTTCTACAACTCTTTGGAACTCCCTTCACCATAAATAAGAATTCTTTATGATATTCAAAAAAATAGCACCAATTGATTCAAATTATATTGACTTCAAGCAAGGTTTACTTTACTTGGATAGAAGAGAAGTTGATTTAAGGCTTAACTACCATTAATAATTGAAAAGGCAAGGTGCGCCAAGAGAAAAAAGAAAAAAGGGCAAGAAAATGAGATACAAGAATGAAACATGGGAAAGTTGACATTGGAGTTCCGGGTAGGGCTTCCCAAAATATCAAATGAAATTTTATGTAAAAACTTTACTACAAATGGTTAACCCAATTCCCGGCTCAACAGGGCGAAACTTAATACCCCAAGCTTGAAGTTTTTATGCAAATAAATTCTCAGCATTATCGCTAAGTGTTGATCTTTTTCTCTTACACGTCAAACAGTTCACGAAGTACCACTTTATTAATCCCATTATCTTAACCACCAACGGGTCCTTGGTTCCTCAACATGACCCTCGACATCGACTACCCATATGCTTAAGACCTTCGCACTCACCCGCAGGACACATCAGGATTGATCCACGTCATCATCTATCCTACCGTTCCTTTGGCCATAATGATGTTCACCTGATAGTTTGGCATATTCGTACGAGCACTTCTTTGATCATCTACAGGTATACTTGCCGTCGTTTTGTTCATGTCTCCCCTACAGACTTGAAAGGGTCCCAAAGCTAGCACTGCCAAGCACAAGAGACAACTGTTATCTTCCACTTTTGGCTACGTCCACAGTGAGTTTTGGCTATAGGTGTTATGTATCCATATGACGAAGAAAAGTTGGTATATGACAGCCAGTCGGTGTGGTCTTTATTGAAAACTCTCAGAACCTATTGATAATCTGATCATCCTGGCACGCTCTGAGAGAACCAAAACTTCAGCAATAACAGCTTGGTTGATGTAGATCCAGTTCCGTCAGCATTTCAACACCTGTTATTTGATGTTTTAAAGTCAGGTTTGATCTTCAGAGATAATACTAAAAGGCAGGATTGGAGGTGATATTTCCTGAGATGATGCACTGATGATCAGTATGAGACACATTGAGCCACGACAAAAAAGGGCCTCCAGCTGCAGAAGACACTCTACCAGAAATTTCATTTGCATCTACCAACCGGTATAATCTCCTACGTGAGTATCGTCATGAAAAAGTTGACAGGGATGAGCCATAGCCAGAATGCTACCAAGAACTGTTGAGGGTGAGGAAAAGACAATCCATAGGAATTATTGCTATGAAAGAATGAAAAATGCATCTTATATGACACATTGCTGACATACTTTTGAACTGGTAAGCTTCCTTAAGATAGAAGCTTTGTAAGAATAGAGTGGACGTCTATAAGGTGAAGATGTCTTGAAGCGAAAATTCATCATCCCCACGGTATTAAAGCGAGATTTTAGTTGTCAGGGCTTTAGTCAGAGAAAATAGGGGATTGATTTTTGACAAGAAATTCATATACTCACAGTGGTTAAGATGTCTTCCATTTAGGTATATCTCTGGGTTTAGCTGCTACACTTGAATTTAGAGGATGGCAGGGATGAATGTGAAAATTTTGCCATTTCTTCATAGTGACTATAGAATTAGGAAACATTATATATGGCAGCAGCCTTATGGAGCAGCCTGAAGGTTTTGTGGTGAAGGGCAAAGAAAATTATGTTTGCAAGTTGAAAAAGAGCTTGTATGGTTTAAAACAAGCACCAAGGCAGTTTGAGTCTGTTATGGTTCGCAAAGCTACAAAAAGACTACTTCTGATCATTGTGTTTTTGTGCAAAGTTTTTCTGACAATGACTTTATCATTTTGCTGTTGTATGTTGATGATATGCTTATTGTAGGTCCTAACTCCTCCAGAATTATGAATTTGAAGAAAGACTTGAGCAAGTTTTTTTCTATGAAGGATTTAGGCCTGGCAAAGTAGATTCTTGGCATAAAGGTCATTCGTGACAGAAGATGCAAGAAATTATGGCTTTCACAAGAGAAGTATATTGAGAAGGTACTACAACGGTTCAATATGGCAAAGGCTAAGGCTGTAAGTACACCTCTCCCTACATCTATTAGATTGAGTGTGAAGTAGTCTCCTTCCAATGAGCAAGAGAAAGAATTCATGCAAAAAGTTCCTTATGCATCTGTAGTAGGAAGTTTGATGTATGCTATGGTTTGCCCACATCGGATGAGCAAGGAAGAATTTCATGCAAAAGGTTACCGTGTGCTCTCTGTAGAGTAGAGGGCGAAGTTTATGTATGCTATGTTTGTATTAACGATATTAGCTCATGCAGTTCGCGCAGCCTACATATAGCCATTTCTTCTTCTCTAATACCCAGCCCTCCCCCGTCTCAAGATGAGCATTGAATGCAGTTAAGGATTATTTGAGATATCTCCGTGGTACCCTCCAGGTTTGAAGTATGTGTTTTGGGCTGAAAAGTTTATCATTCGTAGTTACACTGCATCTCTATGATAATGGTGGCGATACCCCTCCTGATTCTAAAGAAAAGTCCTTAACTATCGTAGGTACTTGATTTAGATTCAGGACACAATTGGGAGGGCAGATTTGTAATCAGGCCACCACCCAGTTCGCGAGGCAATCCCACGGTCATGTACTAAGAATAGTTATATCTTGTGCTTTATCTACCTACCCAAGACCGTTGGACTGACTGTTCCAATATATCTACGTCAAGATCACACTAACCGGCAATGCAGCTGCAGTTAACTGGAAGCATGCAAGGAACTTGCTATGGAATGAAAAAGTTGAAGGGTGAATGCGCTTGGCTTTACTCGGAGGGAAGTACATGTTGTATTTTTGCCTTGGATAGCTAGCTCGTAGCGTATCATCTTAGGTCGAAGAGAATCCAAATTTCATGGATCCAAATAGCTCTAAACATATTGAATTGTCGAGATATATTATAGATCGGTGCATTGTTCTTGGATTCTAAGTACAGTTGAGCTTGAGGAAAAGTATTCTACGGGCATACATGATAATGGATGCACTGATATGGTGCAAACAAGAGTTCTATCTCCAAGAATGAAGTTTGAAAATATGCCGTTTGACTGCCGGTTGGGCACCTCTTCACATAGTCGGGAACCACCAATCAGACCAGTCCCCCGCAGGCGAATTGTTCGGGTTTATCGGGTTCGCCTGTCATATGTGGTAAAAGCCCATATTTTTGATGAAGCCATTAAAGCTATCTATTGTTTATACATTTTACCCCTTCACATACTAACAGCCTATATTTTGATATGTTGGCTGCTTATCGTTGTCGACACATTTCATCCAACACCGTGTGTGGTGGAAGAAAAAACAACAGAAAAGGAGAGGATGCGGAGAGGGATTTTGTTCGGCACGCCCCGCACGCCCTAGCACACCCATGCGTGTTCTGATTCCGCGGAGTTCCAACTGTTTGATCTTTGCGATTTTGGGTATGTTGTTTTTTGCTACCCTGTTCTTGATTCTCACCGAGGAATTTTGATTTGGAAGTTCAGAGATTGAGATTCTGGCTCTGGAATCCGAAGCTTGCCTTTCTGGCTTCCAGCCCTGTTCTGCTTCCAGCTCTGCATAGCTTCATCTTCTTCAGCGTTTCGACAGTCATCCTTTGTCGGATTGAGCTAATTTTTGGTGAGCTTGTTCTTAACATCCAACTCTTGATTCTGGCTGATCAGTTTAATTTTTTGGATGAGTAGAACATTTTTAAATGTATTGAGAACAGCAGTTGTGTTTTGTGATCACTCCATTGTGTTGCTACACATTTGTTTGTGATTGTTTGTGGTATAGCTGCATTTTTGGTGGTTGTAGCTTGCTATAATTTGTAAGACAATATTTGTGATAGTGAACTTCATTTCCTTGGACCGGAGGAAAGGTCCCGTGGTTTTTATCCTTCACACCGGAGGAGTTTTCCACGTAAAAAGATTTGTGTTCGTGTGGTGAATGTTATTTTTGATTGTGCATGATTTGGGTGCGTTGTGTTCTATAACAAGCGGTGAATGTTATTTTGAGTGCATGATTTGGGACAGATTATGTGTACTTGAATTTGTTGCTCATTGTTACTCCTATGATTCAGTCAGGAGCCTCCGAGTTTTGTTGTTTGAATTCATTTTGTGTACTTCCCATCATAGTAATTATGTCAAAAACATAGAACAAAAACATGTTTAATTTTTCTTTTAATCTTCCTTTGTAGTATAAGGTCTCTAAGTCCTGCTATTTTACACTTTAGATAGTTAAATCTCCAAATAATGAACTAGCGAGGATAAAGTAAACGGTAATTTATACAAATGCCAAGGACAAAAGTGCTTAAATTTATGCTAAAACAAGGGACAAAAATGTAATTTTCTCCTTTTCTTTTTGAAACATCTTCCATTTCCAACTGGACCTGATAATTAAATAAATTAAAAATTTTCATTGTTTGTTTAATCTAGCGGTAAGGAAGGATCCCAAATTGGCAGACAAGTTTGAGTACATTATATATTGGGGAAATTTATACAAATTAACAGGAGAGGTTCAGGAAGCTGATGTTAAGCGTAAAGTGCTCAAAGCTAAAAAGAATTTTCAGAAGAAGGTTCAGGAGCTGATGTTAAAGCGTAAGTGCTCAAAGCTAGATTTTTTTTTCAATTTATTGATTTGATTTTTTATTTTTTGTTATTATTTTTTTTTATTGTTGGACATAGGGAATTATTCATTTCATTTGGAGGTCTCCTTTTGGATATGAAGGGAAATCCAGATTATGTTACAGAGTTTCAGCTTGATCACAAGTATTACCTTTGTATGAGGAAGTTGGATTAGAACTTTAATTGCGTATATAGTCCTTTAATTAGTCTAGATTTGTGAAACCATTCATGTTATTGGTTTATCTTAAAGGGAATTTCTTTGCTTGTTTCTCAGTTCAACTTCATACAAGCTTGGAATTGCTTTGCTCTTAGTTTATTACTCAATTAAACTTTTCACAAGTTTGGAATTTCTTATTGCCTCAATATGCTTTAATTAGTGATGAGGATTAGTAATATTTAGGTTCCATTTTTGGAGAAAAAGAATGATAAATAGCTAGAATGTTTAATAGGATATTTTCCCAGAAAAGAGGAAATTATTATGGAAGAATTAAAATTAAAATCCCCATTGATCATAGCAGTAATAGATGATTCAAAATCCAATGATACAGTTGCTGCCAAATTAGCTTCATTTCTGAACATTTCTGAAAATACCTCTCTCATTTGATCAACGATGATCATCACCCAGTAAGCCCTTCTAAAACTTTAATCCCCAACCCCAATATAGATGACCATTAACAAGCAACTTCCTTTCGAATATGTTTCGTCAAATCCACTTTAAACCCAATCGGTCCTTGAATATCATCTTGTCCTCAAATCTTTACGCTCTTCCCACAGTACTATCTTCCAAAAAATTCGGTTAGAATATGGCAAAGTTTCAAGAAAAGCTCATTTTGATCATCATGGAATCGGGACCAGAATAAAGATATAATCGCCGGTATTGATATTGAGCGAGTGCCAAAGAATTAGAGTTGATAAAAAAATTCAACTTGATGTGAAGGAAAATTGTGTCTCGAAATGTTCCATTTTACTGGAGAATCAAAGGATTGAAGATGATGCCAATGGGAGCTGAGAGCCGTTGGAAAAAGGCAAACATTCAGACAACCGACAAATGATCACTTGCATGCGCTTAAACTTTTTGGAGAGCAGAAAAACATTGAAATAATTTGAAGTCTCTCTCGTATAGATGCTCAAGACCCTGTGATGGCACTTTCTATAAATGCGAAGATTGCAATTGAATTTACCTTCACAGTTTGTGCCAGGAGTCTGCTTTTCAAAGTAAGTGACTGTCCTCCTTTTACTGTCCTCCTTTTCTGAGAAGTGTTAAACCTAATCACTATGACTTCCCAAAAACATATAAATGCAAGAACTGCCAAAAATTCTCATATGATTGTTACGATTGCCTATTCGGAACCCATCTCAGCCATGAATTCTTGCCAACAAATCTTCATAGTAGACACCATTATCATCGACTTAATCTCACTGTCATTCCCTTCAGATACAATTACCAATATCTCTGTAACTTCTGCGAGAAAGTGGGTAGCTCAGTTAGCTATAAGTGTTATGAATGCAATTATGATGTTCATGTGGATTGCATTTTACCAAAAGCCATTAAGACAAAAATGTGAACATCATTTTTGTCCTTCACCATCGACGGAATTGCCGAGTGTAAAGATGGGGTGTGTCCTATTTATTATTGTGATATTTGCCACCAAGAATATAGAAAGAGTGTCATAGTGTCTATATTGCTAGTGCCTGCGATAATATAAGAGGGTAAATATTGAATTTGTTAGACAGTCTCTCTCAATAGAATGCATGCCTATTGAAAGTAAGCTCTCCAAGCCGATTGATACCTAATTATTAGCAGGAAAATGTTATATCACAAGAAGAATGTTGAGAGAGATCCGATGGTTGTGTTAATTAGATAGTGGTGAGATATTATAGGATATTTTACAGGTGCGAAGTTTGATGATGGATGGGGGTAAAGACTTGTCCATCCAGCTCTGCCACCGTGTGTAAGATATCTGGTCGTCATGTTGTATCATTTGATTACCTGTGCCTCGTCATCACTTGGTGAAGCTTACTTCGGCACATGCTTCGCCATGTTGAAAGATAAAAATTGAATTTTTGGCGTGTGTAATTTGACTGTTGAATATTTTCTCTCTCTCTTGTGAAAGATAAAATTGATTTTTGGCAAAATGCATAAATTTGACTTTGAATTTTCATCGATTATCATTGTAGCCCCTGAATTTTACTAAAATTCTAATCAATTCTGACCTTACATTTCACATTTCAGTAATAGCTATGTCATTTGCCAAAATAAAATATCCTTATAGAGGTTTAATAATAATGCTATACTTTCAAATTTCATTTTGGAGAGGGACATAATTACTATTGAAATGTGAAAATACATAATCATAATGTGTTCCCTGTAAAGTTCATGGGCTACAAGGATAATCGTCGAAAGTACATGGTCAAATTTATGGATTACGCCATTGATTTTTTTTTCATTTAAGAGAATCAGCTAAAACTTATTTTCTTTCCTTTTTTTTTTTTTTTTCTCCAGGACCGTTGATAATCCATTTAACAAAAGAAGCCCCGCCCTCGCAAAGAGTTTCTTATCTCATGAAAAAGAAAAGAGATTATATGCCATGAGAACTTCCTATGCGGAAATATAACAAAGTCAACCTTAGATTGCCATATGATTTAGCTCTACAAGCACAAGGAGAGGCTACCTTATAGCATGGTCAATCATTATATAAGTGGTTGTGTATGCATATCACAGCTGCAATGCTAATAATAATTAAAGGGGTAATTAGTAGTAATTCTACTTTCCTGAAGTAATAGAAAAGCATCATGTACAAAACTATTAGCTAAATGCCACCATGTACGTACCAAAGCTCAATGGAGAAACTTCTGTATCCATTGGCTATTTCAGCGACAGCAGTTTTACTTGATGATATAGTAGAAAGCAGAAAGTAATCAACACCACCAGAAAAAGTAGCATGCAGCAAGCGTCTCCACAACACTTGTGGTTACACGGACCTAAATGAAGCCGTCCTCCACATTGATGGCAAAATCGAACCCCGCATCTGCATTAAAAACCAAATTTACATCAAAGACATAGATTATGGGTAATATATATAACGATTCCTAGTTTGTTCAACCCGTCACAACTGCCTAAATGCAGATATTTTTCCAATTCCTCATTCTTTTTGACTGTTAATATTAGTGTCAAATTTACAATACTTACTGCTCCAAAATGATGAAAGAACTTAGGCTTAGCTAGATAGTTACACAAGATAATAAGGACTAGCATGGCATTGATATTGCCAATAGCAGAATTTGAGATTAAAAAATAAGGAAAAAGTGGGCCCTAAACGGTACTGCTTAAAGGAAACCTGTCGCCTTCTTAACCCGTTTTACCATGTCCTTTAATATCTGTTGAATATCTGTTAAAAAATTATGAGCCACCACCAGTAATACACTTATCAATAGATTATGACCAAATCAAACCACCAAATCATTAGTTTTTCTTGTAGCTTCGTACGTATCATAATTTAAGTACACATCAGATGATGAATTATTTGTGTAAATATACTTTAATGTGCTGTGTGTTTTCCTATTTATATTTTGTTGTGTAAGGAAAAATGGAGGAATAAAGTAAATCACAAATTTTATTATACAGGAAAACCCACATACACACACAGAGAAGAGAGGAAGAGAGCATACTTGGACAGAGCATACTTGCATTTATATCTCTGCAGCCACTCCACTGACTCGCTCAACAGAGTGACCACAATTGTAACATCTTGTCCACTTTTTCTCTTCTATAAGTTCCCCAACCAGAATATCATTACTATCTCTCAATTGTCCGCTCTCATTGCACTCATATCCTGCATGCCATGGAATCTTGCACCGAAAACAGAATTGTTTCTTACAGATAGGACACCTTATTTTTTTAAGTTTATACTTGAATTCATTCAAAACCAAAGCTGAGCAATCTTGATACGGACAATAGCACCTTTCGAACCTTAAAACCATGTAATCACAGAGGAGTTCAGACCATTTTTCAAATAGTGGCTTTGAGATGATAGACCTGCACGATAGAGGGGTCTATTGGGTGCCCAAAGTTCAGTCCAGGGCAATCAATGTTTCCAGTGAAACCTTCAACTTTTACTTCGATGTGAACTTATTTGCAAATCTTCAAATCCACGCTTGTAGAAATCTAAAGAAAAGAAAGGGTTAAAAAAATTCAAGTTCAATGCTAACTAAGTAACTATTAAAAAAGAAGGTAGAAATCTAAAGAAAAGAAAGGGTTAAAAAAATTCAAGTTCAATGCTAACTAAGTAACTATTAAAAAAGAAGGTTGGAAGGAAGGACATGAAAGAAGAAATAAAAAAAAAAAAAGTGTTATCTTTGCTTTGTATATAATATGGCAGCAGAAGTAAAAAAAAAATAAAGTGGTGTCAAACACGAGAGATAAGAGAGAATATTCTTTCATCGTTTAAGGTACTTTTATAGTGGAGCAGTTGTATTTTCAATGTGCCTCATTGCATCATCTCTTGAAGGAAACAACTCTGTTAGACATACACTAAGTTCAACTCAACACTCACAAACAAATCTAGTGAACAAAAAAGGAAAAAGGTAGCAGTAATAACTAACAATGACAAAGTCACACCCAAACTCAACTAAACCTCAATCCAACAATTGGGGTCCACTACACGAATCATATTTCCTCCATTCAGTCTAACTAACAAACACAAAATCATACTAGATAAAACAGTTAGCTTAGTGGTGATAAGATGAGTGCACTACCTCAATTGTTTTCTTGAATCCAACCATCTGATTGTAATCAAACATTTGCTAAACCCAACAGTTTTCTTCAGGAAAAGTTTGTAAGACTCCATTGGCCAATTCAATCAAAAACTGAACAGAAATTTCAACCCAACATTTACGCCATTGTAATCTCAGTAAAAAATAAATACAAATAGCAGTTGAACTTCTAAAATCCTAAATCCTGATATTTGTATTTTCAATTTCTTTATTCTTTACTCTTCTACATTTGCCTTCTATCAAATGGATGCAAGAGGTTAAAGAGAAATTACATCAATTTCAGTATTGCCTACTAATAAAATCAACTTCCGTCGCAAGATTATATTGCGACTGAAATTTCTTTTCACTTCAACGCATTTTCCCAACATTCAAACAGCATTTCTCAAAACACAACAGAAATATATAACAACAGGTATTTAGTATACTAAAAAGTATACACTATAAGCAGTAATTTCTAGTATCTTCACCCACAAAATCTCTTTAATCTCCAGCCAATAGCAATTAGAAGAAGCAAACAAAGGAAGTGGAAGAAGCAAAAAAAGGAAGTGGAAATCTCAGCAGTTGAGTTTCCAGCATTTGTAAACTAACAACCTATTTTACTAATATTTTTCACTTTTCTACAACCTCTCCGCAGCCAAACAGAAAGAAACATTAAGGAGATAATTAACAAAATTTCTACTATTTTTCAACTTGAAATCTATAAATTGATTTTATAAGAGATAAGTTAAATTTCCAGCATTTTCTTGGTAATCAAACAGAAACAAAAAGAAATCGTCTTAGAACAAAAATTAAAGTCAGATAAGATGACATTTTTTCCCAATTTCTCAAAATTGAAAAGGGAAAATAATAATTGTAATTGCCATGTTCGGGTGTTTTTTGGTCCTTCCAGCAAAATATGCTTCCAGGAGTTCTTATCAACCCAACCAAAACCATGTTGGTGAACCTTTAAAAATTTCTGATATTTTCCAATCCCAGGCCTAAACATGTACAGGTCAATTATGATACACCAACAATTATGAATCAACTCCACCTGATGAAATATGCCAATAGTCTCTCCCTATCCAAGATTAGATAATGTTTAGATTCCTACATTTTACTACAATTTCTGATGATTTTAAAATTTGAAAAAATAAAAAGAAATAAGTCATAATGCACAGACTTTATCAAATTTCTTCTCGGAAAAAAGTGCCTAATTACGTGGGATTTTATTAATTATTATTTTTAAGAGTTCTAACAGTAATTAAATATCTAATATACGTAAGAAAGAAAACTCCTTAACGGTTAAACCCTATGCGTCTCATCCCTCCCTGCATCTATATGTATATATATATATATATATATATATTTTTATATATTCAGGTTTCCTTCTTTTTTTGTGGATCGTTTCTCTCTCTCTCTGTTTTTTTCTCCAATTTTTGTTTGGTTACCAAGAAAATTTCAGGAAATGGAGGACATAATTATAGTTGATTCTATGGATAAAAAGTTTGATAAAGGTAAACATATTCTACTTATTTCTTTCCTTTCAATGTAAATTTTAGAAAGCTAATTTGACATGGCTGTGTAGTTTCTCGCATAGAAGCACACAGCGAGAGGCTCGAAATGCAGATTACACTTGATGTAAATACAGAGATTTATCCAATCAATTAAAATAAAAGATAAGTTTGCTTTGCTCATTACTCCCACTCTTCATGCTGATGGAACAGGTGATACCGGTTATTACATTCAGGTAATTTTCTTTTAGAAAAATTACGATTTTATCCCTACATTTTGACGTGATTAACAACTTTTCTTTTTCATTTTAAAAAATTATACTATTTTGAAGGTAGTTAATTATGTCAAAACATAGGAACAAAAATGAAATTTTTTTTTTAATTTCTTATGCATAGAAGATTAGTCCTTCTAATTTTACTGGGGTACTTAAATCTCAAATAATGAACTAGAAGGATAAAGTAAGGTAATTTTAAAATGCAAGGACAAAGTGTTAATTATGCTAAAACATAGGGACAAAAATGTAATTTCTCATTCTCTTTTTCAAATCTTCCATTTCCAACTAACATGATATAAATAATAAAATTTCACTTGTTGTGTTTAATTAGGGTAAGGAAGGATCAATTGCAGACAAGTACGAGTACATTATGTATGGAAAATTATACAAAATAACAGAAGAAGGTTCAAACAGAAGAAGGGTTCAGGAGCTTGATGTTTAAAGCGTAAGTGCTGCAAAGTCTAGATTTTTTTTTTTTTAATTTAATTGATTGATTTTTTTTAATTTTTTGTTATTATTTTTTTATTGTTGGACATAGGGAATTATTCATTTCATTTGGAGGTCTTCTCTTGGATATGAAGGGAAATCCAGATTATGTTACAGAGTTTCAGCTTGATCACAAGTATTACCTTTGTATGAGGAAGTTGGATTAGTCCCTTAATTAGTTTACCTTTGGACTTGTGAAAACATTTGTGTTATTGGTTTATCTTAAAGGGAATTTCTTTACTTGTTTCTCAGTTAAACTTCGTACAAGCTTGGAATTGCTTTGCTCTTAGATTATTACTCAATTAAACTTTTCACAAGTTTGGAATTTCTTATTGCCTCAATATGCTTTAAGTAGTGATGAGGATTAGTAATATTTAGGTTCCATTTTTGGAGAAAAAGAATGATAAATAGCTAGAATGTTTGAGTTCTTTCTGTTTCATAGGATATTCTTCCAGAAAAGAGGAAATTATTATGGAAGAAAGAATTTAAAATTAAAATCCCCATTGATCATCTAGCAGTATAATGATTCAAAGATCCAATGATACAGTTTTGCCTTGCCAAATTAGCTTTCATTTCTGAACTACCCTCTCATTGATCAAAATGATATCACCAGAGCCCTTCTTAAATTTAATCACACCAACCCAACTCCTGATGAATTAACAAGCAACTTACTTTCGAAACTGTTGGTCAAATCACTTCAAACCCAACTCGGTTTTGAATATCAATTCGTTGTAATCTTGCGCTCTCCCACAGTACTCATCTCGAAAAATTGGTAGAATTGGCAAGTTCAAGAAAAGCTCATTTGATCATCATGGAATGCGGAACCCAGAATAATAATAATCGCGGTTATGATATTGAGCGAGTGCCAAAGATTAGAGTTGACAAAAATTCACTTGATGTGCAGAAAATTGTGTCCGAAATGTTCATTTTACTGCAGAAAAAGGATGAAGATGATGCAAGGGAGACTGAGAGCCTGGAAAAAAGCAACATCAGACAACCGACAAATGATCACTTGCATGCGTTGAACTTTTATGAGCAGCAGAAAAACATTGAATTTGAATGTAGAAGATGCTCAAGGCCCTGTCGTGGCACTTTCTATAAATGCGAAGATTGCGATGAATTTATTACCCTTCACAAAGTTTGTGTGCAAGAGTCTGCTTCAAAAGTAAGTGACTGTCCTCCTTTTCTGAGAAGTGTTAAAACCTAATCATTATGACTTCCCAAAAAACAGATAAATGCAAGAAACTTGCCAAAAAGTCTTCAGATGATGTACGCAATTGCCATTCGGAACCTTACGATTGCCTATTCGGAACCCATCTCCTCAATGAATTCTTGCCGACAATTCTTCATAGTAGACACCATTCTCATCGACTTAATCTCACTGTCATTCCCTTCAGATACAATTACCAATATCTCTGTAACTTCTGTGAGAAAGTGGGTAGCTCAGTTAGCTATAAGTGTTATGAATGCCATTATGATGTTCATGTCGATTGCATTTTACCAAAAGCAATTGAGACGATAAGTGGTGAACGCATTTTTGGCCTTAGATCACAGAATTCCGATGTAGCTGCGGCTTATTGTCATTGTTATATTTGCGAACAAGATATAGAAAGAGGTCAATTGTACTATGAGTGTCATGAATATGATTTTAATATAGACATTCATTCCATGTGCATGCTTAATGTTGATATCCCAGCCATTGAACGGTTTCTTCCCTTTGCGCGTTTCTTCAACTCTGATTTGGATAAAAATACTCCTCGGGGCGTTCCTCAGGTGGTAAGGGAAGTGTTAAGGGAATTGAAGATTATCAGGAAAGACTAAGAAAAGAAGCAAGGAAGAAGAATCTGTAAAAAAAGCAATGATCAGTAATGTGATTTGGGGAATTGAATTGAGCTTGTAAAAATAGCCACAAGGCTTGATTTGTGAAACAATAATTGGGGTATTTGCAATTGAAAGCCAAATTCAATAGCTTAATTTCCAATTCTCTTCAAAAATTAGTAACAAATCTGTGCATATAACTTGTGTACATATAACTTGTGTAAGAAAGTGAATTTCGTATAAAAATCCTCAAAGTGATAACCTAAAAATATGCCATTGCGGGAGTCATGAAGCATGGAAAATGAAATTGATAGACCACAGTGTTCATGTGAAAATCTATTTTTGGACATATTCAATCTCAATTAGTAGAGAAGACACTTTAAATTTCAACAGAGGGCTCTTAAGCCCTGGGTTCTCTAAATTGATTGGTGATTAGTGGAATAGCTTTGATCCCATTTAGTGGGAAGAATATTAGAGGGCAGAGTCCTAAAATGTTGGCTTATGTTCCATTTATTTCCGAAAAATTTTTAAAATCTTTAACCGTGAAAATATTTCTTATAATAAAGATTTCCTATTCTAAAAATTTTATTATTAAATATGAGAAAAAAAATAAAATAATGGTAAATCATGAAAATCGCCCGTGACTAGTGGTAGCAAATGATAATTCGTGGTAATGATTACCGATAATTAATAAATTAAAAAATATACATTTACAAAGTTATAATAAATTTATCAATATCCAAAAAATATTTTCTTCTCTTAAAAAGGGGAAGTCATTTTCTTTAAAAATGACTTAATGTTCTTTTGACTAGAAAAGTATTTTCCGTTACACTTATTTCCTTGAACATTCCAAACACCTGAAAATTACGAAAAATGTTTTCTTGTAAATTATTTTACGGAAACAAACGAAGCATTAGAAATATATGCAAATGCATAACAAAGATGCCTCGCCATCACAATGAATCCATCATAATTTTCTCTTATCAAAATAAATAAATAAATATAAAAAAAATCAAGAAAAGAGATTATCTCCCATGTAGAACTTCCTATGCAGAAATATAACAAAGGCAACCTTAGATTGCCACTGATTTTGCTCTACAAGCACAAGGAGAGGCTACCTTATAGCATGGTCAATCATTATATAAGTGGATGTGTATGCATATCACAACTGCAATGCTAATAATAATTGAAGGGGTAATTAGTAGTAATTCTACTTTCTTGTGCTAATAAATAATTGAAGGGGTTTAATTAGTAAGTAATTCTACTTTCTTGAAGTAAATAGAAAAGCATCATGTACAAAAACTGATTACGCTAAATGGCCCACCAATGTACGTACCCAAAGCTTCAATGGAGAAACTTCGTACCCATTGGGCTATTTCAGCGACAGCAGTTTTTACTTGTGATGATATTAGTTAGTAGAAAGCAGAAAGTAAATTCAACACCACAGAAAAAAATAGCATGCAGCAAGCGTCTCCACAACACTTTGTGGTACAGGGGGACCTAAATGGAGCCTTGCCTCCACTATTGATGGCAAAAATGAACCGCCGCATCTGGCATTTGAAAACCAAATTTACATCTCAAAACCAAATTTACATCAAAGACATAGATTAGGGGTAATATATATAATGATTCCTAGTTTTTTCAACCCGTCACAACTGCCTAAATGCAGATATTTTTCCAATTCCACATTCTTTTTGACTGTTAATATTAGTGTCAAATGACTATCACTTCATCAATCATTTTATTTACAATGCTAAGGATGAAAGAACTTAGCCTTAGCTAGATAGTTGCACAACATAATAAGGCCTAGCATGGCATTGATATTGCCAATAGCAGAATTTGAGATAAAAAATTAGGAAAAATTCTCATGGGCCAATGAATAACAACTTCTTGCAAATATTGTTTTTATAAAGCTTAAAGTTGATTTGAGAAAAACTTCAAGTATGAGCTTTTCCAAAATTAGTGTTGAACCCATAAAAAGAACTTATATTGCCAAAATCAATATCTACTGGAGTAATAAGAGTACTCATAATTTTTCCCAAGATCTGATATTAATAATAGTAGTGCCAAATGGGCCCTAAACAGTACTGCTTAAAGGAAACCTGTCATCTTCTTAATCCTTTTTACCATATCCTTCAATATCTGTTGAATATCTATTAAAAATTATGAGCCAACACAAGTAATACACTTATCAATAGATTATGACCAAATCAAACCACCAAATCATTAGTTTTTCTTGTACCTTCGTAGGTATCATAATTTAAGTACACATCAGATAATGAATTTTATGCAATATATATAATTATTTGTGTAAATATACTTTAATGTGCATGTACGTGTGCTGTGCGTTTTCCTATTCATATTTTGCTGTGTAAGGAAAAATGGAGGAATAAAGTAAATCACAAATTTTATTATACAGGAAAATCACAAAATTTTTTATTATACAGGAAAAAACCACATACACGCACAGAGAAGAGAAGAAGGAAGAGAGCATACTTTGCATTTTATATCTCTGCAAACCACTGACTCGCTCACCAAACAGAGTGACCACCAATTTGTAACATCTGTCCACTTTTTCTCTCTATTAAGTTCCCCAACCAGAAATATCATTACTATCTCTCCAATTGTCCGCTTCCTCATTGCACTCATATCCTGCATGGCCACATTGCACTCATATCCTGCATGCCATGGAATCTTGCACCGAAAACAGAATTGTTTCTTACAGTTAGGACACTTTATTTTTTTAAGTTTATACTTGCATTCATTCAAAACCAAAGCTGAGCAATCTTGATATGGACAATAGCACCTTTCGAACCTTAAAACCATGGAATCACATAGAAGGTCAGACCATTTTTCAAATAGTGGCTTTGAGATGATAGGCCTGCACGAGAGAGGGTCTATTGGTTGCCCACAGTTCAGTCCAGGGCATTCAATGTTTCCAGTGAAACCTTCAACTTTCACTTCAATGTACTTGGATATGCAGTCCAAGCAGAAAGGATGATTACACAAGCCACCATTCTTAAATTTCCTGTCTGATAGGTTGGGTTCAATGCATAAATCACATGTAAAGTTTGAATCTTCTTCTTGTTGCTGTTCTTGTTCTCTTCTACCCTGTCTGATCCTAGGGGCTTTTGCAGCTTGTTTCCCATTTATGATCTGCCTTCTGCTTATGAAACTCAGATCAGCGTACTGCGTTAGCCTTCCTACTTCTGAGATTGCAATTGGAAGTCCTAATTTGGGCTGATATGATAATCTCTCAACTTCAGAGCTGCACCAGGTCATTCATTGCAGTTGTTTAGAACAATCACATTGCACCAATTGCACCCATAAAAAATTGACATAGATGCATTTCCCTAAGTGAACTTATTTGCAAATCTTCAAATCCAGGCTTGTAGAAATCTTTAAAAAAAAAAAAAAAAAAAAAAAAAAAAAAAAAAAAAAAAAAAAAAAAAAAAAAAAAAAAAAAAAAAAAAAAAAAAAAAAAAAAAAAAAAAAAGAAAGGACTCAAAAAAAATTCAAAGTTCAATGCTAACTAAGTAACTATTAAAAAAGAAGGTTCAGAAAGGAAGGACATGAAAGAAGAAACTAAAAAAAAAAAAAAAAAAAAAAAAAAAAAAAAAAAAAAAAGTGTGTTATCTTTGCTTTGTATATAATGTCGCAGCAGAGGTAAAAAAAATCATAAAGTCGTGTCAAACACCAGAGATAAGAGAGAATATTCTTTCATTGTTTAAGGTACTTTTATTGTGGAGCAGTTTTATTTTAAATATGCCTCATTGCATCATCTCTTGAAGGAAACAACTCTGTTAGACATACACTAAGTTCAACTCAACACTCACAAACAAATCTAGTGAACAAAATAGGAAAAAGGTAGCAGTAATAGCTACCAATGACAAAGTCACACCCAAACTCAAACCTCAATCCCAACAATTGGGGGTTCCACTTACACGAATCATATTTCCTTCCATTCAGTCTTAACTACCAAAACACGAAAAATCATACTAAAGAAAAAAACAGGTAGCTTATGGTGATAAGATGAGTGACTAACCTCAATTGTGTTTCTTGAATCCCAACCATCTGATTGTAATCAAACATTCGTAAAACCCAACAGTTTCCTTCCACACAAAATTCCTGGGAGTCCATCTTAGCAAAATCTCTTGTTGTGCATCTTGTGTTCTTTGCAGCTTACCAAGGGCATGAACTCATGTGTCTTGCCATAGTATAGCTTCTATGCAGTTTTCATGCAAAACAGTTTTCATGCAAATTAGATTTGAGCAAACAAATGTTTGCATAGCAAAAGTGAGATTACGTTAATCAAGTGCAGTAAATTTGTAAACGTGGGTATTAATCATCAAACTTTTGAGCTTACATTTTCTTCAGGAAAAGTTTGTAAGACTCCATTGGCCAATTCAATCAAAAACTGAACAGAAATTTCAAACCAACATTTACGCCATTCTAGTCCCAGTAAAAAATAAATACAAATAGCAGTTGAACTTCTAAAATCCTAATTCCTGATTTTGTATTTTCAATTTCTTTACTCTTCTACATTTTTCTATCAAATGGATGCAGAGGTTAAAAGAGAAAATTTACAATTCAATTTCCAGTATTTCCTAGTTATAAAATTCAACTTCCGTCCAAGATTATATGCGACTGAAATTTCTTTCACTTCAACGCATTTTCCCAACAATCAAACAGCATTTCTCAACAACCAAAAAGAAATATATAACAAAGTATTTAGTATACTAAAAAGTATACACTATACAGTAATTTCTAGTATCTTCAACCCACAAAAATCTCTTTAATTTCCAGCAATAGCAATTAGAAGAAGCAAAAAAAGGAAGTGGAAATCTCAGCAGTTGAGTTTCCAGCATTTGTAAACTAACAACCTATTTTACTAATATTTTTCACTTTTCTACAACACAACCTATTTTACTAATATTTTTCACTTTTCTACAACCTCTCCGCAGCCAAACAGAAAGAAACATTAAGGAGATAATTAACAAAATTTCTTCTATTTTTCAGCTTGAAATCTATAAATCGATTTTATAAGAGATAAAGTTAAATTTCCAGCATTTTCTCGGTAATCAAACAGAAACAAAAAGAAACGTCTTAGACCAAAAATTAAAGTCAGATAAGATGACATTTTTTCCCAATTTCTCAAAATTGAAAAGGGAAAAAATCCTAATTGTAAACAGTCAAAAGAAGAGCCCCTAAATTGAACTCAATCCCCACGTAGTATCCCATTTATAAAAATTTAAAAAAAAAAAAAAAAAAAAAAAAAAAAAAAAAAAAAAAAAAAAAAAAGACTAATAAGAAAAGGAAAATCAGTAACGGAATCCTGCAAGACCCATTAATTCAAAATGAAATTTGAAGCAAATAAAACCAAACAGCAATACTGTTCTTGCTATTTAACAACAAAACTCATAGAAATAAAGCTGAAGACAAAACTAAACAGAGACAGAAAGGGAGCTGGTAAAACTTACAAAGAGAAATTGTAAATTTTCGTTTGTTTACTCGGGAAGCAAACAGAAATAAGAAATAATGATATTTATAGTATTTGTTGAAAGCAAGAAAGTGATGTGAAGGTGAAATATAGAAGTGGAAGCAAGCAACAAGTGAGAAAGAGAATCACCCTTCACCTTCTCTGCTTCTTCTTCTTCTTTTACTTTTTTTTTTTTTTTTTTTTTGTTGGTGGTATTTTTTTTTTTTTTTTTGGGTATAATAATAATATTTTATTTTTCGCTTTTTCTCTTTTATTGGTTGGTTTGGTTTGGGCTTTAACGGGCTTTTTATAGGTTGGTTTTAACTCACCCAAGTTTTTCACACATAAAATAAATTTTATTTATTTATTTATTTGAAGGAAATTACTTAGAACTTTAATAACAAATAAATATGGAAATATCATTTATTTATTTATTCTATCGAATTTGAAGGAAATACTTAGAACTTACTTTAATCAATATGGAAATAAATACATTTTTTCTCAAAATTCAAAATTTAATTTGAATTTAAAGTAGTAAGATATCTTTTTTTAATATTAAATAGAAGCATTCGAATCTGAATTTATAAATAATTAGATATTTCATTTAATAGTTAGATAGATAAAAATACATAATATGTACATATGAATAAGCAACACAGCACTCATTTTCAAAACCATAATATCTTGACAACGATGATATATTGTCTTTCAAATTATCTTTGCTTTATTTTTTATTTTTTCTTTTTCCTTTTCTTTACTGGCATTTTGTACAATCATCATGTTTGAACTATTGGCTGCCAGGACATGATATTAAAAGATGATGCATTTGGCTATGGAGACGGTGGAAGTAAACCTTCGTTCTACTTACTACCCTTCCCATTTTGCTTTTCTTGGAAGGACCATTGGTGCTATTGCCCAACTCTTTAGAAGAAGAAGATCTGATGAAAATTATATGAATAGTTATGGAGTTGACATGGGTAATGGAGAAAGCAGGTTTGAAAGAAGAAGATTTAAAAGTTGAGGTCAACGTGAGTTTTTTTATTGATTGAGAGAATAATATTCTTTTTCTTTGACTGCGTGAAGTTCGCTGCCTGAGCCAAGCTAAAAAATGGGTAATTTGATATCATTTTTTACAATTTAACGAGTTTTTTTTTTTGGCAAAAATGGTGAAAAAAAAAGAATAAATTGAATATTAGGTACAAGTTCAAGGAAAAGAGAGAGCAATTCATAGGAAAAGAGAGAGGATAGGAAGAGACAAGGAAGCTTCTCTAGTCAATTAAAGTTCAACCCAAGCAAAAAAAAGAGAGAAAAGAAAAAGAAAAGGAAAAGTCATAGAAGTAGGCTTGGCCAAATCACGGTTCCTGGAACCGGAACCGCCGGTTCGAACCGGTCCGGAACCGGAACCAGAACCGGTGAGAACCGGAACCGGGACGAACCGGAACCGGAACCGGAATATTCCGGTTCGGTTCCGGTTCCAGATTTTCTGGAACCAGAACCGGCGGTTCCAGAAAGAACCAGAAACCGGCGGCTTCCAGAAAAAAACCGGTCGGAACCGGGTTGGAAACAAGCCGGTTCTCCGGCCGGGTTAGAACCGCCGGTTCGAACCGGTTTCGAACCGGAGTTCTCTATAAACATGTCACCACCAAAAAAAAAAAAAAAAAAAAAGCTCCTTTTAGAGCAAAAAGAAACCCCAGTACCCCACCACTTCTGTGCCACCCAACCGTTTAGACACAATTAAAATTTATAAACCCTACGCCTACACCGCTTACAAAGGGACAACAGGAAAAATGAGAATAAAAAAAAATAAATACATATTCTTCTTATTAATTATTGTCTGAACGTTTGTGTTTTTTTTTTTAATTTTATTGTGAAATCTATTAATTATTCCTCCCAATAGCTATAAACGGCTATATAACGGCTAGTTTCAAGGGTATTTTTGAAAAATTAATTTTTTGAATTTATTATAAATACCTCATTTCATTTACAAATTCATTATAAAAAAATCTCTACTCTCTCTACTTACTCTCTCTACAATATTTTTTTAAATTATATTCAAACTTTTTTAAACAAAAAATAATTTCAGTGGAAGAATTTTTTTGTAAAAAATAATTATATTCAAGTCTTTAAAAAAATAAATTTAATTGTAGAATTTTTTAATTTTTTAGGTGTATTTTTTTTACATTTTTTTTACAAATAACTTTCACCATAATTATTAAATTTTGAAAATCGACTTCAAAATATTAAAATTTTTAAAATTATGTGATTCGCCGGAAAAATCGATTTGGAACCGTCGCCGTTGTCTATCACCGGTACCGGGAACCGGAACCGGGAACCGTGTTCTGGTTCAAACCGGAACCCGGAAACCGGATTTGTTCGGTTCGGTTCCGGTTCCAGTTTTTTTGGAACCGGAACCCCGAGTTCTGGGGAACCAGAACCTCGCCAGTGTCCGGAAACCGTGGCCACCCCTACAGTAGAAGAAGCCGTACTTACAATCAATTAAATTTACAAAGGAGACTTTTTCGGTTCGGTTCCGGTTCCAGTTTTTTTGGAACCGGAACCGCCGATTCTGGAACCAGAACCGCCAGTTCCGGAACCGTGGCCACCCCTACATAGAAGAAGCTACTACAATCAATTAATTACAAAGACTTTAACAAAAGGAAAAAGCATAGCAATATCTCAAACAATTTCCATTTGCAATTTCCGTAACTGTATACTTTTGGCGATTTTTTTTTTGTAGCTTTTTGAATTTTGTGAGAGACCCGTGATGGTCCTGCAGTTTTATATTGTAATAATAATTATGCTTCTCACCGTAATGAAATATGAAAATACAAGTCATTATTAAACTCTTATAAAGTTATTTTATTTTAGAGAGCGGTATAGTTATGATTGATGGAGAGAAGGGAGCCACGGGTGGCCTCACCCCCTAATCAAAATTTTTTTTTAATGAATTACTCCATGAAATATTGAAACTTTTATTTTATCCTTTAAAATTATAAGTTCTTTCAATTTTGCCTTTTAACTCTTGAAATTTTTTTTAGCCCTCTTAACTTTAATTTTTAATTCCGTCATTGATATTATTATTGAAATGTGAAAATGCAAAATCATGCCTCCGAAGAGTTTAGCAAACTTCAGAGAATCAATCAAGTAAATCTATGTATTAGGTCATTTAAGATTACTGTATAATTAGAGTTGATTAATGAGAAAGGCAAGCCAACAACCAAACATCTTCTTGTAAGTTTGAGTGCCTTTGTAGAAAGAAGGCTATTGGTAGGGTTTCACGTGGCTTAGGGCCCCAACCATAATTAAAAGCTCAATTATTCTGTTACCAAAAACATGAAAATGTTTGTCTCTTTACACACGTGAAAATGGGAAATCAGAGTACTAGTATAATTACCCTAATTAGGAGGTTTGCTTGCACACAATAACCTTCTTTGCTTGGAATGAAGAAGGAATAGGTATCTTAAGAGGCTAAGAGTAAGAGCCCAACCAATCTTTAGCTTTGAGTTGCTTGATCAGTGAGATTCGTGAAGTATTTATATTTAGCTTATAAAGTAGAAGAAATGATTAGAGTAAATCAGCGAGTCGGCTCGTGAGCTATTCAAACTCGGCTCGAAAAAAATTTGAAAAAATTCAGTTCGAATCAAGCTCAAGCCAACTTGTTAGCAAACTAGCCGAATTTGAATCCAATGATGTTCAATTTGAAAATTCATAAAGCTTTATCGAGCTTTTTCGAGTATTGAGCCGTGAGCCGAGCTCAAACTTAAAATTTTTTGAATTGAACTCGAATCTCAAGTCGAGCGCGAGCTTAAAAGTTTCAAACTCATCAAGTTTCGAGCCGAGCTAAATTCTCTCGAGTCGAGTTAAATTCTACTGAGTCGAGTTTTGAGTCTGATAAGTTCGAGCTAAGCTCGCTGGTTTACACCCGAGTAAGAATGGTCACATGAGTTTAGTATAGAATTAACTCAAAAAAGCTTTACTTGGGATAGGATTCAAATGAGATCATTCTATTAACTTTTAATTAATAGTAGTTTAATTAAGTATTCTTTCAAAAGAATTTGACGTATAGGAAGAAATTACATCGATGAGCATTGATTTGTGATCGTGACTAAGCAAAATATTTCTATCCATCAATCAAAGAATCCATAATTTAAGAATTTACAATACAATATATTAGATTTTTTATTTTTTATAATTTGAAAACACATTAATTCATCTATATATATATATATATATACAAAGAATGAAAATATAAATATTTAGGTAAAGTCCAAATCAACCCAAATGTACATAAGTTCCTATTATATATTTTCAGAGTTGGGATTCAAGATTATGACGATACATATATAGTACTAATGGAACATATATAAGTGTAGCAAGAAGCATTAAACCTAAGTATACATATCTACCTATATCATCATCATCATCATCATCAACATTTCCACCTTCAAAATTGCAGTCACACGTGCCGTTTGATAATTTTTTCCCACAATTATAGCAAAAACGTGTCAAGCATCTGAAAAAACAATAATGGTTATAAGAATCGAGAGTTGATAGTATTCAAAACTAATTAATAGTTCATTATACATAATGACATGTTATTGTAATTAAGGAAAATTAATCCTTAGTCCCCATATTATTGAAGAGTGCTTTTTTCAACCCAACGCTATTTTTTTTATAGCATCAGCAGATTTTAAAATCTTGGTATAAAATCGGTATATTGATTATAAAAGACTAACTAATGACTTTGATAATATCAATTAACTATTAGAGAAAATTTTTAAAACTACAAAATTGGGATTCTTGCTTGAGAGGATATAATATCACCAACCTAGAAAAAAAAAAAAAAATCTACCTATTAGTACCAAAATTAGAAGTATTTTCCTGTAATAAGTGATTTAATTTTTTGTTTGTAATTACTCTCTAATATGCAAGCAATTATGAATTGCAGCTTATGACTTTATAATATTATTATAAGGAGATTTAAAATATAAACTCAAGTTCTTAAACTAGTTTCAATTATGGTTGAAATGTTTAAGTTAATATTAATATTAATTAATAAAATATTTGGAAAATTTCCTCAAAAAAAAATATTGTTGCATAATTGGTTAATTTCTTAATCCAAATGGGAAAAATAATCAAATTAAAAAAAAAAAATTACTCTTATTAAATAAGCCAAAATGTAAAACACTAAACACAGAGAGAGAGAGATTTAACCTGCATTTAATCTGAAAACATCCACGAAGACGTTCGACACAGTGACCACAACCAGGACACTGAACCCATCTCTTCTTCTCAATAAGCTCTTTAAAAAGCAAATCATTTCTATCTCTTAAATTTTGCTCATCACTTGTCTCATGGCATCCATGACCATCAACCCACCTAATCTTGCACTGAAAACAAAACAGTTCTTTACAATTTGGACATCTTGCTTCCTTCACCTCTCCTCCACATTCATTCACCACCAATTCTCTGCAATCTTTATTAGGGCAAAAACGTGAATCAGACCAAGAAACTAACCCATCACAGAGAAGATCACACCATGTCACAAATAGGGTTGGTGAGATAATTTCCTTGCAAGAACTAGGGTCTAGTTGGTTCCCACAGTTCAGACCAGGACAGGCTATGTTTGGTGTTTTGTCTTGTAGCTTTATTTCTATGTATTTAGCCATGCAATCCAGGCAAAATGGGTGTCTACAATGGTTTCTGTTGGTGAACTTCTGGGTTTCTAACATGGGTTCTATGCAGATCTCACATGTGAAGATAGAATTATTATTGTTTTGTTCATCTCTTTCTTCTTCTTCTTCTTCTTCTTCTTCTTCTTCTTCTTCTTGTTGTTGTGGGTTTTGGTCTGGTTTTTGAAGAGAGTTTCCCATGGTAATTTGATTAACCTTTGGTTGGTAATAAAGACAATGGTGGTTCAAAATTTAATGTTCTTTTTGTATTGAAATTATGAGCCCTTGGGGCAGTTTAGGCATAGGAACTAATTAGTTTTTATAGTTTAAGTAAATGTAAATGGTATGAAGTTATAAAAAACCTATATAGATGCCAGGCTATCTTTTGATGAAATGATCAAGCATTTGGTAAAATTGATTAAATGTGAGGGATCAATATTATTTCAGTTATCTATTTATGGATATGGTTGGTTTTGTTTTGCAGATTGAGTTATTGAATTTTATAATAATAGATGGTTTATATTTTATTATTTATTATTTAAGTATTTTTATATACATAATTAATATTTTTTGGTGCATTAACTTTTATTATTTGGATTTTTTTATTTAAAAGAAATTAATGGAGTGAGATGCCTCCAAGCAAAACTGCACGAGGACGAGAAACAAGCATATGGCACTAAGATCATGAGGTAGGCATGTAAGGAAACTTTGCCTGACGATTTTGAAACACTTGGTAGCATCATAAATTTAATCAACACAAAAATTAGCTTCACGATAAACATGATTTTATATGGCACTAATATCATGAGGTAGGCATGTAAGGAAACTTTGCCTTTGACGCATTTTTGAAAATCACTTGGTTAGCATCATAAATTAATCAAACACAAAAAAATTAGCTTCACCGATAAAACCATGATTTTTATGATTAATTATATATATATATATATATATATAGTATATATTTTAAGCATGTGTCTGTTAAAATCAAAATCATGCATAATATTATTTTAGTATATATTTTAAGCATTGTCTAAAATCAAATCATGCATAATATTATTTTATATATATATTAAAAGATTTTCCCAAATCAGAAATAAGGATTCTAGGAATCTTTATAATAACATATGTTTTTCTAGAGCTATTTGTTTCGAATTATAAAGGATAGATGCTACTACAATCATATACAATATCTTCTCCAAATTTCTTTTTTTTTTTTTTTTTCTTTTGAGAAAATTATTAAGTATCTGAAATTCATTGGACCAAGTAATCTAGATTCTAATCATGTACGCCATAACACTTTGTATGGATGGGTCGGGTGAGGAAACGGTGACCAATAGAAGGGTAAGGGAAGTTAAAGGAGGGAAATGGTAAGAAGGGTCACAATAATAAAACTGTCTTGTTTGGTAAGAGGTAAATTAAATGTAAAGGCAAAGAGAGATAATGTACATTCTTATATTCGGAAGGAAAATAGATTTATTTTTAGTTGTAAATTAATTTAAATCTTACATCTTCCTCTTTACACTCTAATTTGAGGTGTAAGAAAAATTGAGATTTGAGAGGGAAAAAAGCGTAAGGCTTACCATTATTTATCCTTACCCTTCTTTGACTCACTTTTTTCCAAATAGGGATACATAAATTGCTTACCCCTCCTTACCATTAGTTAATATATATATATATAATTTATTCTTTTTTGGGTGCATTAGTTATTTTCTATTGTTGAGAGATTTTTTTTTTCTCCAAAAAAAAAAAAAAAAAAAAAAAAAAAAAAATGGGAAGTGATGTTCCCATGCGTAACTCGTACAAAGGTGAGAATAAAGAATATTCTAGTTATATCAACTAAGGATCACAAAGTAAGCATCGTGAGAAAACTTGCCTAAGAAGTTTTGAAACACTTAGTAGCATCATGTCAAAGTCAATCAACACAAAATTAGGGTTCACAAACAAGTGTGTGGTCTTATGAAAGACTCCACTTTTAAAGCATCCATCCCAATTCATTTAACATATTTAAATTGTAATATATATTCAGTAATGGAAACCACTTAACTTCACACCCGGTATATGGACTTCACTGCCAAAAAAAAAAAAAAAAAAAAAAATGGGAATGATGTTCCCATGCTAACCTACAAGGTTGAGAATAAAGAATATTCTATATATCACTAAGATCACAAAGTAAGCATGTGAGAAAACTTGCCTAAGAATTTTGAAACACTTAGTAGCATCATTCAAATCAATCAACACAAAATTAGGTTTCACAACAAGTGTGGTCTTATGAAGACTCCCACTTTTTAAGCATCATCCAATCATTTAACATATTAAATTTAATTATATATTCAGTAATGGAAACACTTACTTACACCCGGTATATGGACTCACTGCATACACCAAACAAAAAGAAAAATGAGCTTTTTTTTAATAACGAGAGTATTTCTGACCTTCACTGAGAAAAATAAAAAGAATAGAAAATAATAATATTTTTTAAAAAAACTTATATAGATTGGCATTATTTCTTTTTTTTTTTTATGGGATTTTTGTTTTAAATTCCCTTTCTCTCCTCTATAATTCTCTTTATTCTCTCTTCTTTGGCCTCCTCAATTCCTATAGAAATTTATATGAGATTTGAGAGAATTTTTTTTATAGTAGAAATTTGAATTTGAACAAATACTTGTTAAATTATTCAAACTGAAATTTATAAAAAAAAAATTAATGAACAAAGTATTAATCTTATACAGTATGTTATTTATTTATGATATAATCATGAAATCTAATATTATAATAAGCTGACTTTAATATTTTTTTTTTCTTAATTGCATTCACCATTGGACAAGAAGTAATAAGGTAATATTTTGATGCGTTTATCCTTTGGAAAAAGAAAAAAAAAATTGTAAGAAGCATGTGAATATAGAAATATCCATCAATTAATTAAAAATAAAAATAATATAAAACCCAATTGACTGAATTCAAAAACAATTGTTGAAATAAAAAAGAAATAAGAAAATGAGAGAAAAGGGCCGAAGCCCAACTCTGGTTCCCCGAAAGGCCCCGCCCGGTTCAGTCATAAAAAAAAAAATTAAATTAAAAAAAATTTGGAAGCGAATCAAGTGATTGTTATAGTCTCTCCCTTCTATCCAGAAAATAGATTTTCTCAGCTTATTCTGATTAGCGAGAGCAATCGATACCGATTCTCTTCTCACAGAAATGGCCGCAAAATCACAGTTAATTACAGGATTGACCTTGCCATTGCCACCGCCGCATTCTTCCACTTCCTCAACCTCCAATAACAGCAGCAACACTCTCTGTATGGTCAAGCGGCCGCAACTTACGACTTCGTTTTTCAATGGCGGAGGTACTGTTTTTCTTTGCTATGCGCTTTATTTATGCTACTATTTTCATGGGCGTCGCTTAGTTTTTTGAGTTTTTCTCTTACAATTGGTGGGGAATTTTTATATTGAATTTCTGGGTTTGTTTAGAGCTAAACTTTAATGCCATGGAGCTGGAAGATTGATGATAGAGTTAAAATGTAGATGAGAACATTAATAGAAACTAATTTCGAAGTATTTGAAATTGTTTGTTTCTTTTTTGAAAAGATAAGTAATGATCATTCATCACGTGAAAAAATAAAGGACAAAAAATATCTTATTAAATGCCTTGTAAAATGCGAGGTAGGAATTTAGCTCTAATCTTGTAATTGCATACAGTCCAATAGCATGTCCTTAAGTTGAATTTCTTGCTATTGAAGATGAGATTATGCCCGTCAATTTATATGTAAAAGAGTTAATGAGCAGGAGTGGAAACTTCATATTGGATATTATTTTGAAGTTTAATCATTTCAATGGAAATCTTTAATAAACTCAATTTGGGTTAAATACTCAAATACATAAGCAAGATCATGCAAAATTTCAGTCTTCATATATTGATTTTCCAGAGATCTCTATGTCACAGGTAACGTGCATGTATATTTGTGATTACGCCAACTTGAATGTTTCAACTGATATCTCAAATAAAATCTTGTTTTTTTGCAGTTGAAGCTCTAAAATTTTCTAGGATAAGGACTTGTTCTACTAGGTCCCATTGCTACAGACAAGGTGGAGGTGCTCTTGGCACTCGTATGAATCTTTTTGATCGGTTTGCTAGAGTTGTCAAGGTGAGAATTTGGGAGTTGTTTGCCTGCATTTACGTATGATGCTTTGGCATCCTTCATATGGTCATTGTGGCTACTAATTCCAGCTTTTTGAATTTTTCTACAAATAATATCGTTTAGCTCTCTTCTAATTACAGTCATATGCAAATGCAATCTTGAGTGGTTTTGAGGACCCGGAAAAAATTCTAGATCAGACGGTTCTTGAAATGAATGATGACTTGACAAAGATGCGTCAGGCCACAGCACAAGTAAGTATCACAATCTTTTATTCTTTTCCCTAATTTCTTTTCTTTTATTTCCAGAATTTTCTGTTTCTTCCTATTCATCTTGCATATTCTTTTCATCTCTTTTCTCTTGCTTTAGTTTTATTTTGTTATTCTTTTGCTTTGATGTATTGCAAAATAAGTGTTGTACATCTAACACTGAAAAGGCAGTGGCATGAAGATTCTGTTAACAAAAAACTTTATGGCCACCATATACTTTGCTACTCTGGTATTTGACTATGGTTTCCTTTTAATGGTTATCCTTTTTTTGTTCTATTTAGGTATTGGCATCTCAAAAACGTTTGGAAAATAAATACAAAGCTGCGGAACAAGCTTCTGAGGATTGGTAAAATAAAATTGAACTTAGTTATGTAATGAATTAATTTGGTTATTGAGAAAAAAAACCTGGGTGTTGAAGCTGTGGCTTCTACTTGTAATTACCCCAAGGTGTCCTAATTTTGCCAAACCCAGCCGGGACATTGCATTTTATTATTATCCATGAGTGAAAGTTACAGTTGGTCTAGTGTGGTTTCAATAAAATATTATTTGTGTTTTTTGTGTAGGTACCGTAAAGCACAACTTGCTCTTCAGAAAGGAGAGGAAGATCTCGCTCGGGAAGCTCTTAAGAGGCGTAAATCTTATGCTGTAAGTTGGTATCTTCTTTAAGGATATGTTTAATCCTTTTCAAAGTTTGATAGTCTTATTAATCAATCAACAATCTAGTAGGAACTTATGGTAGAATAGCAAGTGACTTCTCTTATTTAGTCCTTGTTGCATTTCAGTCCTTCTTGTTCATTAATTTCCGTGTATTTTAATCTTTGACAAGTAATGAAGATGGGATCTACTCATTGTGTTAACTAAGAGCAAGCTTATCCGGTCCATGCACTGAAAGATCATGAGGGGCTAAATTGTTTTATTCTAGTCATGTATTGCCAGCTTGGGTGTCTAGACATAATCTTCAAGCCTTCATTGTTAATGATTACTTATTGATCTTAACTAGACTAAAATATGATAAGTATGATGAATGTTGTGAGGAGTTGTATGCATATGGTAACTTTGTGATAAAAAAATTAATCTAGTTGTATTGATGGTATATGCAAGGAGAAACATATTAAATAGGCATCATGTGCACTAGGGTTATTTAGTAAATTCTTACTACCTTAAAATAATAAATTTTGAAATTTGTTATTTAGTGTTTGTTTTGTAATTGTGATACAATTGATTTGACTGCAAAAGTAAAGTTCTTGCAAGGTATCATCATGAAAATTAATTTGTTCTTTTTTACATCTTGCCAGGACAATGCAAATTCCTTGAGAGCTCAACTTGATCAACAGAAAAGTGTTGTTGAGAATCTTGTCTCTAATACTCGGGTATGCTAATTCTTATATGTTCTGGATCATATTCCTAGTATCAATAGCTAGTGCATTGCCTTTATTTTGGCCTGTGTTCAAGCTGAATATTTTATGAATGGTTTGTCCAATAATCATGTAGTAATTTGAGGTGCTAAAATTGGATATGAAGTTATGGTTTGCATAAAATTTCGGGCAGGAACAGAGTGGGAAGTCATATTGCTGGGATCCTTGTTTGTTTAGATGCATAGTTAGATGTTGAATGCCTGAATTAATGTTGTGGATCATGAGATTGACATGATCCAGGAAGAGGTGGGGGTAGAATCACGGGTTATATTCCCTATTACAGAATTATTTATCAAATATGATTGAAAAGGAATAAGTCAGGAATAATAATCCTTTTATGAAGAAGCAATCTGAAATGCAAAATTTGAAAAATCTATGAGGCTCTCCCTGACTATTTTTGTGATTTTTGTTGGGTTTCAGAAACTTTTATTAACTTTTCCCCTTTTAGCTTGCTTACGAGAAAATTTGACTTGTCAAAATCATATTGTTGACTTATGTTTAACTAATTTTTTTACCTGACATTAATCTTTCTTGATATGTGTACCTACATATCCATGAACTTGTTATAGTTGCATTAAATAAATTCCATTTTGTGTAGCTTTTGGAGAGCAAGATACAGGAGGCAAAGTCTAAAAAAGATACTCTGAAAGCGCGTGCCCAATCTGCAAAGTTTGTCTTTGCCACCATTTGCTGTTGTGATGTCCTTTTTCCTTTGCATTGCGTTATTTTTTCTTTTAATGACCCCCTTTTTTTTTGGTTGCTTTAGAACTCAAACCAAAGTGAATGAGATGCTGGGGAATGTAAATACAAGCAACGCTCTTTCAGCTTTCGAGAAAATGGAAGAGAAAGGTAAGACATCTGAAATCAATCTTTGCACTTCTCCGTGTCTGAAGTCTCTTTTTTATGCACTTCATTTATCAACCACCATTGCGTGCACGTGCGTGTACTCATTGATTTGTTATATCTATGTATAAATAGGAAAAAGGTTTGGTGATTCATAAAATATTCTAATACTCCATCCCATAATGAATATCCACATTACTAACAATAATATTTTGAAGTGTCCCAAAATGAATGTCTGCTTTCCCTTTTAAGTTAAGAGTCAACAAGTCAAAAAGTTTGTTTTATCAATAATACTCTTCACTTTGTCCATTTAACATTGGGCCACTTTCCCATTAAAACAATTAGTAAGAGTGGAATTCATGGAGCCAGGAGACGCCACATATATATAATTGCGGAGAGGGGGACAAATATGAAAGAAATAGGAAACTGAGAGCCAAATAAAAAATTTTCATGGGACTTGAGGGAGCCATGGCCCCCCTACCCCCACCCAGTTTCTTGCCATAATATGGAGAAGTCTGAAGACTGAGATATTCGGCTCATAGCCCCTGCAAACAAAAGAAAAACAAAGTGATGTGCAATGTGTATCTGATTTTGGTTCTGGTGTCCAGTTTTTCGTGGAAAAACTGTGGGGTATAAATATGGCACACCTATGCTTAACCATCGTATTTGTACATAATAATTTGTTTCATAAGTTTTCCCATCATTTTCTAATTCTTTTTTTTTTTTTTTCTGGCTTTAATATCCTAGAGGATTCTTCACACAGTTAAATTTTATCCGTTATGTAGAAGTATGGTGTGCTATTCATATGCTTAAAGCAGATAAGTTTCTTGGTGTACTAATTTTATTTTCTCTTCCTTCACTTGGAAGCCAACGCAATTCAACCCACCTTAATCTCAATCTAGTTGGGACTAGGTATCTTTCGAGAACTAGTGAGACAGTGACTTATAATCTCAAACTAGTTGAGGCTGGCTATCTTCTAAGACTTAGTGACACAATCAATTAGATACATGTATTTAATGGCTTATATTGTTACTATGTTACCATTTTAGTGTATCTAAGGTTATATCTGCCTCTCTTTTTCTCATTATCATCACATATCATTATTGTTAATATCTATTACATGCTGCATGCACTGTAAGTACTAGATGCCTGATGCTATTGCATTTAAGTAGAGAAAATGAACATTGGAAAACAGTTTTAATTGTAATTGTCATCCGTTATCCCACATATTGCACTCTTCTTTCTGAAGTGCTTTTCTGGCCTCAAATTCACCATTTCTCGTATTTTGGAAGTAACATCTTTCTCATCAGATATATTTTGAATTCTCAAAACAACACTTCATTATGTGATAAATTTTCCTTATTGACTAATATTTAATGTCGTCAGTTCAATATATGTTATGCAATGTGCAATATGGTCTATTGTTTTTCCTTTCTGGTTACTCTTGATTGACTTAATGCAGAATATTTTTTTTATCATTGTTAGCACCAGTTTTGATGATGTTATTTAGGTGCTTTTCCAAAAAGCAGTTAGAAACTGGTTTGGGCTGTTTTCAAGTTTGCGTTCAAAACATGATAAACACCTTAAAATCAATTTTCAATTGCCTATTTGCTTTTGATAAAAATATTTAAGAGCTTGCTCTTCTCAGTAGCAGTGTGAAATGGACCCTTTTGTTACCCTATGTTATTGCATGGTGGAGAATAGAATTGGTACTCGGATCTAAAGTCTAAACTTCCACTTTCTTCTTATTTTTATCTTGATAGTATTGCAAATGGAATCAGAAGCTGAAGCACTTGGCCAGTTAGCTACAAGTGAATTGGATGGAAAGGTATCTATTATTTTTATTTCTTTCATTCATGTTGTGCTTGAAAAGTTTGGAGTCATCTGTTTTTTGCTTTTACTGATCTTTTAGATGCTTATATGAAGCAATGTGTCTTTTTCTTTTATTGTGAATTGTTAATTAATATTGAGATACAAACATTTGCACATGAATGCGTACCATGATCAGTGTTCGAAATGGAGATGGTGCACACATTTGTGTATCACAAATATATTCACGTTACTGAAATGTTAGATGCCTTTAGTGTAGGCAGTTAGGGGTTGAAACCCTTGCTTCTTTCTCCTTTAACTTTGAATCCAAAACAAATGGTCTTGGCGTGGTACATTCATGCTAGCATACCAGTGATTTCTTCTAGGGAAAGAATTGATAACTTTTGAGGATTTCTGTTTCAATTTAAAAAGTTTCTATTTATTTATTTTCGTTCAGAACAGGACATGATTGAGAAATAATGACTTTGAAAAATTGCTGTAGGCTTGATTGCTCAGGTTTTCTTCCTGTGCACAGAAATATGAATCTTTGTTATGTATTAGATATGATAGCAACTTTGTTTAATATTTGAGTGCTCCTGTGGAACCCTCTTGCCTAGCCATGCGCAATTATACTTACAACCATAACTGCAATCTCAAATCAAGGGCCAATGTAATAGATGTCCAATGTTGAAGTTGTCAATGATTTCATATGGAAAAAAGTTACTTTCTGGTCTTTACCATTTGTATGCTTGTCACCTGTTTTACAGTTTGCTTTACTTGAGAGCTCATCTGTTGATGATGATCTTGAGAACCTGAAGAAGGAAATTTCTGGTAGCAAAAAGGTATGCCTTAGACATCTTCATTACATGATACAATGAGAGTAATATATATGTTTTTTCCTGGGATACATATAGCTTCATCTGAGCATGCCTTCAAACAGTAAATATGAAAACCCATTGTTTTTTCATTGTTGCCTGCTTCTAAAATTTTAATTTTAGTCAGTTAATTCAGTACCAACAATTAACAAACAGCAGAAACTGAAGAGGAAACTAAGTGTGATAATATCATTTAGGAATTGGGATTCTAATGAAATCGTCACTAGAGGAGATTTTTAGTGTTGAAGCTGCTACTGGTTTTTGTTTTATTTTTTCTACAAAACTAATCAAATATTCTGGATTTCATTTGAGCAAGGCTTTTCCTTTCCGTTGGTTTCAGGAATGACTTTGTTTTTCCACTTTGTCTGTAAACCAGAGGAAAAGGAAATCGTGAAAAATTTGTATTGTTGTAAGGTTCCTTCAATTCTTTTTTTATGTCCCCTCACCAGTTTTTTCCTCTGTCTTGTATAACAGAGAGGAGAACTGCCGCCCGGTAGAACAGTTGTCAGCAGCTCTGCATTGAGAGATCCTGAGATTGAGATGCAGCTCAATGAATTAAGACAAAAGAGAAAGGAATTCTAAATAATTTGCAGAATCCGTACTCTCAGGTAAAAGTTGGAATAGTTCTTCTTCTGCCAAAATATTAACTCTGTAGAGATGAAGGCCAAAATAAACAAGCCATTGTATAGTTATGCCAAACTTGACCAGATATATATTTTTTGCTCTTATTTTGGAACTGCTATGATGCTACCCTCCAAATGTTGCCTCTGTAATTGTAAATTTATATGCAATTGTTTTTCTGCAGAACCATATGCTTTGGATTATAGACTTATAGTTGCAACATCTTTTATTATTTTTTTTATAATTATAATTTTTTAACTTGTGGTTATCATTTTGGCACTGTGGTTGGTCACTTCAGTGTATGCAATTACTGATGTGATAATAACATGTAGAATTAAAAAAAATGAAACGTTTATTTAAAAGATAAATGAAATTGTTTATTTAGAAGTGTTTAACTTTTTTTTAAAAATTTTTTCTAAAACCGAAATAAAAAAAATATATATTTTATAAAATAAAAATCGTGGAAACTAAAATACATCCGTGATGTGATTTTATTTTATTTTATCTATTTCTCTTCTATTGTCTTTATAAATGATAATATCTTATTAATTGTATAATTTTCATCAAAATTTATTACCATACAAATTATATTATTTGACCAATTCGAAAAATTGTTTAATAAAAATGAAAAAAGGGTAACAAATTAGCCTTCAATTTTTTAATTGTTGTCTAAGTAATGATTTTATAAAGACAAATTTAAATAATAATAAAAAAAGATTCAAAAAAATTGCATGTCAAACGAATTCTTTATAATTTGATTATGCGTGAAGCGCAGCGAGTCAGCAGTGATGGATGGATGGGTTGCCGTTTGTATACCGCAGTAGGCCGCTGGTCAAGCAGTGGCGGCTGGGGACGTTCCGCTTCTTGCAGAGATAACAATTGCGTGCTAGAGCTACTAATAAGTGACAACTTATGGCAATTTCTTTATATATATTTAACGCTTATTACAATATCTCTCTTCAAAGTTCAAACATGTGTATGACTAATAATATGTATGACCCATCAGAAAAATAATACCAATGAAAGAAAGAAAAATAAAATTGCATCTTTACTTGTATTACACTATTACTCACCCAATTAGACTATTCAGAGATTTGATTTATTATTTTAGTCAAATTTTATGTATTCTATTTGGAATTTAATGAATTATGAAATATCATTTTCTTGTAATTTCATTTAAAATTTAGTCATAAATGAACACTATTCCCTTTTCTTTTTCAAATTCTTTGTACTCAAATGTAATTATGGATGATTTTCATCTAAAAATTGTTTTTTTTATTTACATTATAGGTATCCCTAGCCTATTCGGTAAGTCTAATCATGTTCGCATTGTATCGGACATATAAGGAGAAAGCACTCTCAGCAAGAATTTTCTCTATTCACAATAATCGGACACTCAATCTCTTATTTAAGGGATTTGAGTCCTTTCTATTTAGATCAACCCCTTTAAATAAAAATAGAGCAAGAAATCATAGGATTAAAAATTTAGTTATTGAAAAATAAAAAAGAAAATCTATTTCAAAATTGAAAGTTTTGCTTAAAAAGAATTAATATCTAAGAGTTGAATCCAAGTCATGACCATATAGCCATGAGCTTAGACTTTCAAGTCTTTCAGCGCCTACGGACCTACCACCCTGCAAGTGCTCAATATCAAAATTCTTACAGAGACTACTCAAAATTTTTTAAGAGTCAAAAACATATGATTGTCAACTGTGGAGGCATTTCAAACGCGCGAATCGGATTTGGATTGGATTTTATAAAACCCGAAATTAATCTCATTAATTTCTTTTTATTTGATTTATTATCTAATTCGCCTCATCTTAGGCCTCACAGTGTATCAAATTGGATTTTACATATTTTTCTTTACGTTTTTTTAAAAAAATAAATATTTCACTATTTTTTATTTTCAAATATGATTTTCTTCTTTTTCATACGATATAAATATTAATATATATTATATTATATAAACTAAAATATATGATTATAATTTTCTATGTACACACTTATAATACCATCCCAATTGCTTCATCTCCACGATTTTTAAGTATTGGTCTTACATTGTTCATTCAAAATATTAGAAATATATGTTTTTGGTCAATATTCAAAACTTACAATCTTGGACTTAAATAATTAAACATACCCCCTAATTTTTTTTTTTAAATTATTAAAATGTACAACGCCATGTATCTTTATCTTTGAGAACGAATTTAGTAATTGTTGAGTCTTACATTATTAAATATGACACGAGTACAATGTATTGAGGGTTATACTATTAAATACATAATGTCAGTATTTTTTTTATTTTTAATTAAAATAATAATATCAATAGATTTAAAATTATAAATATAATTTTCTATTTACAAATCTTATTTATATTTTAAAAAATGTAGAATATATTGATTTTATTTGTACACACTTATAATACCATCCAATTGCTTCATTTCTCCACGATCTTTAAGTATTGCGTCTTACATTGTTCATTCCAAAAAATATTAGAAAGTATATGTTTTTGGTCAATATTCAAACTTACGAATCTTAGACTTTAAATAATTAAACATACCCCCTAATTTTTTTTTTTAAATTATTAAAATGTACAACGCCATGTATCTTTATCTTTGAGAACGGAATTTAGTAATTGTTGAGTCTTTACATTATTAAATATGGACACTAGTACAATGTATGAGGGTTATACTATTTAAAATACATAATTGTCAGTATTTTTTTTTTATTTTTAGGGTTATACTATTAAATACATAATGTCAGTATTTTTTTTATTTTTAATTAAAATAATAATATCAATAGATTTAAAATTATAAATATAATTTTCTATTTACAAATCTTATTTATATTTTAAAAAATGTAGAATATATTGATTTTATTTCTATTTTTGGCAAATGTTATATCCATATTTTCTAAAATTTATTGTATAAAGTAGTGGATTTTTATTTTTTTTTTAACTTAGCTCTTAATTTTTTAAATTTTCTTTTTTTTTTTTTTGGATAAACAAAGGGGAAAAACAAAGAGAACCTATCTCAATGAACTAATGCCATAGGCATCAGCCCAAAGAAAAACATGAAGGGAAACAGTTTCAAATAACAAAGAGGCAGACATGGAATGATTCAACCTAGCCAAATGATTAGCCGTAGAATTAGTTTCACGATAATTATACTGAACAGAACAATCTCAATCACAAGCCAACAAATTCTGAATATCCAAAACAAGGATAGCTAACGGATGAGAAGGTCTTAAAGCAGAACAAACTAACCTCACAGCTTCCAAACAATCATATTCTACAGTACTTTTCCTATTCCCGATCCCAGGCAAAAACAAGACCAGTCCGAACATTAAAATTTTCTTCATTCTCCTGATTTTGAAGTGTGAATTCGTGATTCCAATAATGGTATGTACACTTTAGTAGGAGTCCTAAAAATTATTTTCCTAATATCATGATATTACCAACTCCACCCAAAATGACCAAGAATGAGCATCTTCCTCTTGTTCTTGGCTTCTCCACATAAAAATTCAAGCCATTTAGGAGTAATATTTGACTAAATTATAATATTCAATTTTAAATTAAAACCCTAAATCTACAAGAAGCATTCAAACTACAAAAATAGTAAAAATAAATATTAAAAAGCCCATGTTTCACCAAATAGTAAAAATAAATATTAAAAAGCCCATGTTTCACCTTACCCAGCAGAAGCTAAACTAATAATTTTCAGCCTGCAATACAAACATGACTCTTTCAAAAACTATTTGGTCAACACGTAACCTCCAAAACCCAACTAAAAAACCTCTGCTATACACATTCAAACCATAAAAAACAAAAGTCCAAGCAAAACCCTTACACTTGTACTTCTATAAATACCACCACCAACTTCACATTTTCTCATTCAAAAATCACAACCATAACCAGCAAAAGCTCTCTCTCTCTCTCTCTCTCTCTCAATATCACTCCTCGTGAGTTCTTTAAATTTCATTTTTCTTGCAGTCACGAAAATCGCTATGAGTTTCAAGAAAGCAACTCTTCTTTTGGTTATTTTCTTGATTTACATGGCTTTTATAAGCCAGGTTCAGGTAGAGGCAACCCGGGTTTTACCAGAAGATTTTGCAAGTGCAAATCATCTGGAGACATACTCTTCGGTTTATGAGAAGGCAAGAAGCACTATGGCTTGTTGGCTTGGAAAGCTTGCATCAGGACCTAGTCCTAGAGGCCCTGGTCACTAGCTGTTTTGTTATTATATGTACTGAAGAGTGAAAGAGCTGTTGTGTTATATATTGCTGTACTGAAGAGGTGAAAGAGAGAAATGTGTACAAGTTAAACAAGAGAAAAGAAAGGAGTTGTTTTTTTTTTTTTTTTTTGTTTTCCGTTTTAATGTTCTTTGTTGTCTTTAATTTATGAGTCAAAACTACTGTAATAACTTGGTTAATAGGGATTTAATACTGAGGAAAAATTTTGTTAATTTGTAAGTAAAAAAAAGGTCTATTCTTGTTTATTGTATGAATGATTAATTTAAAGGTTTATCTATTAATTTTGTGTTTGATTTATCATTATGCCAGTTTTTCTTTTTTTCTTTTTTAAATTTATTAATATTAAGCTGAGGTTTGAGCTTGTAATATCCAATATTGGTGGAGTTAAAGCCCTGCAGTTTTCTTTTTTCTTTTTTAATTATTAATTAAGCTGAGGTTTGAGCTTGTAATATCAATATTGTGGAGTTAAAGCCTACTGCTCAGTTTGTTTATACTCAACCAAGCGTAGAAGAATGTAATACTACTCCATGCAATAATGGAAAAAAAAAAAAATCTTATTTAACAGTATCTTTTATATATATATGTATATATATATTTTTTTTATTGTTTTACTAGTTTAGTGTTATGCGGATTCCCACACTCGATGTCCAATTAAAAAAAATAATATATATATTTGTTAAAAATTATAAATAAAATAGAATAATTTTAACTGCTTCTAATTTTCCTTTTTCTCTTGTCTCCTAAAAGCCTTCAATTTTCTTTAACTTGTATTCCCTCGTACCCCTTGAGAGGGTTCTGGTTGCGGAAATCTTGCAAGAAAATTAGGCAAAATAAATTGAATTCCGATATTTGGTTGGTTGATACTTTCTAAGTCTAAGTACGTAAGTCTCATCTCTACTTTTCTGTCTCAAAGGATGGAAAAATTAGATTCCTATAAAAAATAAGACATTTTAAAAACTTGGGATATCTACAGTGTACTTTAAATTTTTTGCCAACCCTTATTTTTAATGGGGAAAATAATTATTTTGTCCCTCAGGTTTACTATAATTATCTAAATACTCCCCTACATTTTATATAATATATAACTCATTCTTAAGATTTAACTCCGTCTAATTAAAAGAACATTCCGTCCAAATATAGAATATGTTGCTGTTAATTTAAAATGAAAGTATTAAAACACCCATCTCCCTTGTTGACCTGGACCACTTTTTAGCCACTTTTTAGCACTTAGCTTAAAAAATTTAAAATTAAAACTAAAATTAAAAAAGCACACGCCATTTTCCTCCAAGCACACCAGCCCTGCCAATCATTGGACACCTCCCGCCATTTTCCTCCAAGCACACCAGCCCTGCCAATCATTGGACACCTCCATCTCCTTGCTCCAATACTTCATTAAGCCCTTCACAATCTTTCAACTCAGATATGGACCATTAATCGACTTTGACAACGATGGTGACGGAGATTACTCCATGCATTGAAGAGGAACTTTCATAGGACAAGAAACAACAATAATTTCAATAATTACAACCAATCAAAGGATAGATTCAACAGCCGTGATTTCTTATTCTCGTTTACCGGAGAGGTAGCTTTTGGAACAGCATCTCGTTGGCATTACCGGTGAGGTAGCTTTTGGAGTAAACGTCCATCACGGTTTGGATCATTATCAGCTCTTACAGTGTTCTCGTTTAGATATTACAGAGGCATGAAATTGCCATTTTTCAGACGAAGAGGATTAGTATTCGTTCCATTATCAGAGAGATTCCCCAGTGGCGACACGGAGGAGGAATATCATCAAGGCGGAGCAAGTCAATGGCAAGCCCAAGGTTTCTAAGATCGTCAGTAGCAGCGTTCTCGTCAAGCTGGTTACGGTGAGAGGATCAGCTGATATGATTGGATGAACGAAGAGAATGGACAGTGATGGGTCGGATCGGGTCGAATATTAAATGGAAAGGGGAACCAGACATGCAACAGATGGCCACGGTTCCGGAACCGCCGGTTCCGGTTCCAAATTTTTTGGAACCGGAAGCGAACTGAAAGTTTTCGGTTTTGGTTCCTTAACGGTTTCAAAACCGACGGTTCCGATCGATTTTCCGGCGAATCGCATACTTTTAAATTTTAAATTTTGAAGACTGGTTTATTGTTAAATTTTTGAAGACATGGTTTTTCAAAATTTAAAAAATTGTTGAAAATTTATTTCTAAAAAAAAATACACTTAACAAAATTTAAAAAATGCTTCATTTAAAAAAAAAATTTTATTTTTTTTTTGAAAAGACTTGAACGTTAAATATATAATGTTAGAAAACAGTTGAATAAAAAAATTAGAGGAGAATAATTAGAGATTGGAATTTGAATGTAAATTAATTCACAATTAAATTGTGTGAATAAAAAATTAAGAGAGATTGTGTAGAGTAAAGAAGAATGGATAGTAGAGGTTAGAGTGTAGTAGAGTAGAAAGAGTAAAGATTGTTTGTGTGAAGAATATTGTAAACGGAATGAATGAGGGTATGTTTATAAGTTAAATCCAAAAAATCATTTTTCCACAAATACGTCTGTGAAAACTAGCTGTTATTGTAGACCTGTTTATAGTTATTGGAGGGGTTAATTTAAGAGATTTCACAACAAAATTAAAAAAAAAAGACTGCTGACAATTTTGTAAACGACTAGAAACGCCGTGTTGAACCGGACGGGTTCCATCCGGTTCGGACCGATTTTTGAACCGTACCGAAAAAAAAAGCTGCTGACAATTTGTAACGACTAGAACCGCCGGTTTGAACCGGCGGTTCCATCCGGTTCCGACCGATTTTTGGAACCGCCGATTTGCGGTTCCCAGAATACTGAAATCGAAACCGAACCGTATACTTTTGGTTCCGGTTCTGAGAACCGTAATATGGCCACCCTTAGCAACAGAGAGGCATGAGAGTTGTGGGCTGTGACTTCTCTTTCCCTCCCTTGCAATGTCATGGTGGTCCACGTCAGCGAGAGAGGCGTGTTTTTCGTACTTTCGTTTTAAATTAACGGCAAAATACCTTATGTTTGGACGGAATAACCTTTTAATTAGACGGAGTTAAATCTTAAACATAAATTATATATTATATAAAATATGAGAGACTATTTAGATAATTATGATAATCTTGAGAGACGAAATAATTATTTTTCCTTTTTAATGTTTACTTCCTTCCCCGACAAACATTCTCTGTTATAAAAAAATAAAAAAAAAGAAAGTTAATCTCCATTAAATTCTTACAAAAAATTCATATTTCCAAAACTCACAAACAACAAATAAAAAATTTGCATCAATACGAAGATGTTCAATTTTGATATATAAGAGGGTATTTTTATCTTTGTACTAGGCATTTAACGATAAAAATATAAATTGTAAACATAAAAACTTATTAAAAGAACGAAAGCAAATTATAGGAATGTATTCATGTCCCACCAAGGAAGGCAAAATAAAAAAAAAATCCACCAAAAGATGTAGAGAGTGAGAGATCTCGAGTTCGAGTTTTCTCTACCATAAAAATTATTATTAATTTGGTGAATATCATTCAAAGGGGATGGTCAACCCTACTGTGTAGCTCACAAAGTTATTCAAGTTCATTAAGCCTCCCATATATATATATATATATATATATCCACCAAGTAAATAAAGATAAAATAAATAAAGTTTATGGGGGGAGCTCCGGGCCTGGCCCCTCAACGGCCCAGCCTTGAGGCCAACTAAAACCCAAATTTACTTTTTAATACCCTAAATTTCAGAACCTTCAATTCAAATATTGGCTATTCATGGTAGATGTGTTCCTCTTCTTATTTTCTTTTGGACAAAGGCTAAATTTAACCTTTTGATTTTTAGAGAATGATCAATATTAAGTTTTTTGCCAAATTAGGATAAAACTTGTAATTCAATTATGTTCAACTTAACCTAAGTTTTAACAATTTCTTTTCTTTTTTAGTATATTTTTTCTAAAAATATAAGAAAATTTATTTTATATTTTTCTTTTTCATTTACAAGATGCAAGAAACAGTTTAGGAACCACTTGAACCGCTTTTGGCAGAATCACCTCCTCTTCTTCATTGAGGCAAATTGAAAATGAAATGAAATTTGCAACTTAAACTCTCGAATTCTTCTTTCTGTAGAAGAATAGGGCAACAATATTCATCGCAGCACAGCCCAGCAAAAAAACTCAGATCAAATGGTTGAAAATATATCTAAATTAAGATTAAAAAATTACTATAATTACTACTACATTTGTTTTGGCTTTCAAATTTGACAAAATGTCAAATTTGACAAAAAAAGGAAAAATTTTTTTTTTGTTTGCTTTGAGTGTTACTATAATTACTACTACATTTGTTTTGGCTTTCAAATTTGACAAAAAAGGAAAAATTTTTTTTTTGTGCTGATTACATAAACTTTTATTCTTATTAGAAAGTACAAAAATTTAAAAGAAAATCCAAATAGGAAAAAGAAAAAAGCAGAATATATATGTATGTCTGTGCTATATTTTATGTCCTAACAGGTCAAATTATCTCCAGGAGCAACACCAAGTTGGTCACAATAATCAGTATAATACCCAACCCGAGCTTGAACAGTAGCAGAGTTTCCACCATCACATTCAAGAGCACCATTAATGGCTCGAATAGTAGCTCCAAAACCTTGTCCTATCACAGGTTGGACATTGTTCATCCAATACCAAAGTGCTGTTTTAAATGAAATAACTGGATCGTTGGCCACGGTTTCAGGTGAGTTTAATCCGTCGAACCCGATGCTTTCTCCGGCCGGTCCATAGTTGAAGTTCCAAGATAGTTGAATGGGTCCGCGGCCATAGTAACCTTTTTCAGGATTGCATGGATACTGTGTGTTGTCTTCGTCACAGTAGTCCCTTGTTGCACCATTTATCTCTTCTATGTGGCAAAAGTCTGCAACATGCAAGAAAAACATTTTAGTAATATAAAAAAAGTAATGTCCCAATATTTATATATATATATATAATTGTGTCTTTGTACGTGGCTTGTAAGGTTTCTCAGCCACATGCATAGTTCAATGTGGTCATTAGTGTTTGACCCTGAGAGGCACATTAGCATAATATACTTTTTCCTGATCAAAGCAGGATTTGAAATCAAACTTCTCTTCAGGAGAATAGATGGGACTAAATCACTGACCCTAAGAGATACATTAGCATAACATACTTCTTCTGTTCAAAGCAGGATGTGAAACCAAATTTCTCCTCGGGAGAATAGATGGAACGATTTAGGTGAGATCTAATTAATATAGATTCAACTTTCTATTTACTCAATCTGCTCCTCTTTTCTCGAGAATTCATACATACCTTATCAATGTATAAATAACTATCTCTTGCGCATAGGTTAGGCTCGGCCGCGTTAAGAAATAAAATGGATCACCTAATAAAGTATATTCACATGCAAGAACTACGAGATCCCCTTTCATGTATATTTAATGTAAGCAGTGTTTTTATGCCCGGAAAAAAATAATAATAATTAGGTAAAATCCCGTTGAAATAGTTTCTAGCTTTTAAATTCGTGACTTGCAAGTAAAATTCGCTGCTTTCGTCTAATATTATTATATACATGTTGAACTGATAGAGAGGAAAAACTTACGTCCAGTCTCATGTGTAACATGGGCAAAGAAAGCTGCAATCTCACGCCTAGAATCCTCAGCAGAACCAACTCTACCAAACCGAGGATACGAATCCAAAGCCTCAAGAAAAACCTCTCGTGAATAAAATCTTTTCCCAACACAACTATCTTCAGCTTGATCAATTATTCCATTGAAAAATTCAGGCGTTACAATTTCGGGCACTGCAACATCATTTGTAGGAGGAGGAGAAAAACAAGGGCCTTCTTGGCAACCAGTCCCACAATATTCTTCAGTTGTCCCACAAAAACCCCATCGGCTACAACACTGATCAGAAGGGCAGCCGCAGTTTTGAGCCACTGCAACTCCGGCGAGAATTCCGGCTAAAAGAATTATTGTAAGATTGTTTCTGGTAGAGGATGCCATGTTTTAGGGTTAAAGAGAGAAAGAAAGAGAGGAAAGTGTTTATGGATTGTGAATAAACGAAAGGTGAAGCTTTGCATTTATAGAGTGTGAAAAATTCAGTTCCGACATGCGGCTATCTACGTAGAACAGTTGTCCCACAAAAACCCCATCGGCTACAACACTGATCAGAAGGGCAGCCGCAGTTTTGAGCCACTGCAACTCCGGCGAGAATTCCGGCTAAAAGAATTATTGTAAGATTGTTTCTGGTAGAGGATGCCATGTTTTAGGGTTAAAGAGAGAAAGAAAGAGAGGAAAGTGTTTATGGATTGTGAATAAACGAAAGGTGAAGCTTTGCATTTATAGAGTGTGAAAAATTCAGTTCCGACATGCGGCTATCTACGTAGAAAGCGTGTATGTACTGTGTATTACTGTGGTCTGACTTTTTGTTTTGTTTTGCTTTGGATATTGGTGGTGGTTTGACTTTGACTTGTTCTGGTATACCCTTTTAGTCATACCTTTGAAAAGTCTTACTTCATTGGTCAATAGTGTGTGTGTGTGTCTCCATAATGCTATTTAGCAAATGTCATTATATACACATATTGATGCATGGATCTTGTATTTTGGGCATCGATGAAAAGCAAAAGGTTTAAATGTTAGTTGCTCTTGGTGGAATCCATTAATTATAAGCGCCGGAAAGATGATATGGACAAGCATTAAACCTGCAGGTTTTGTTAAGTCAAATTATATGACTTTGTCCTAGTCTTACAAAAATGTACACTTTGGAAGAGATCAAACTATGTTAAGACATTTATTAGGTTAAATAATAATTTTGGATAATTCTTTAATTATTTTGTTTTAATAATTAAACTATAACAACATTTAGAACTAGTAATAAATTATGTTGGAATGAATTAAGATCATCACTCTATATAATATTCCCAACTCAAAAATAATTTATGATTCATTTAAATTTTTTTTTTCAATGTTTTGCATGTGTTCTTTTCTTTTAACCTATTACAAGAGTTTTTTATAATACCAACTTAAAAATATTCAATATTTAATTATGTCTTTACTTCTTAAAATTATCTCTAAAATTATGAAACCACAAGCATTTTTCAAATTAAAAATAATAGTAAATTTTTGTCACCGTCAATTTTTTGAAATCGACTTATTTAGACTCAATTTATAAATCTATTCATGGAATAAACCACTGAAAAATAATCTTTTGTTGAATGGAGAACATCTCTGACCATTAAAAGGAGAAAAACAATAAAAAGAGAAAATTTTTTAGAAATTAAAATTTAAAATTCTTTTGGTATGATAATATAATGTGTGTAATTAAGATTTTCCCATCCACCTCATTTTTATTTTCTATTATCTTATATTTTATTTCCTTGTGTTGATTTTTTATTTTTTCATTCGTGGAAATTATTATAATTTATATTATAGTCCTATACGTAAGGCTTATGTCCCATTTCATGGACTCTATATTTGTAGTTACCTGTTTAAGTAGCCATTATTAGAACTCTAGTAATTTCTTTTGAAGAATAATGGTAAAATTACCTATTTAAGATTTATAGTCTATTTCACCCTCTGCTTCATATATTGCCTTGTAGGACTTCACCTGTTTGATGATTTCCCTTGATCATTTTATTAAGTTTTTCCTCATTTATTAATAAAAATTAAAATTTAGGATTAAAAAAGAAAAAAAAATAATGCCAATCAAGAAAAAAAAATTATCTTTTTACTATGCCGTTGATTTGGAAAAAAAAAAAAAGAGAGAGACTCATTATTAAAATAGTAATTAAATTCTCATTTTTTTATATAAATCACTTTTTTTATTTTTTATTTTAGGTTAACTGGATTGAAATAATATTTTATCTATAATAATTTAAATACATTTCAGCATAACATTATCAATATATGCTAATATAGTCACAAAACATCATTAATAAATAATCATAATATAATCAATCTGGTCCCATTGTATGTAGTTTAATAATTAAATTGACTAATTCATATTAATATGTCCAACAACAATCAATCCATATTAAATAGACCGATTCATATTAAAATTAGAAACTAGGCCAAGTATAGTTTCGAACAAAAAAAACTATGTCCAGTATTGGGAAACCCATGGTATGACTGCAGTACTGTGGATACCAATGGCCCATGTTACTTTGCAATTTTTAGTTCACCGTTGATCGCGTCCATGTCCTCACTTATATACTAAACCAATAAAATTAAAAATTTTTATTGAAACGGATGTATTTTTTATCATACGCTTTAAAAAAATGGAACATGTTTTAAAGAATTCTTAGTTTCATTTTTGTCTATGAATAGGATGATCAACCCAGTCTATGCAAGTTTTTTCTATTGATCAATACATGAGTTGCGATCTGTGTTTCTTTTTTTTCCTTTTTTTTTTTTACTATCCCAAGTCACAAACTTAGGATTAGCTTATACATATGTCAGATTGGCCTAATAAAGAGTAGAATATTTTCAGCGAGTATTTACTTCATTTATAATAATAGAACACTCAACCTCACGTAAGGGAGAATAGTACTGAACTATCCATCTCAACATTAAATGTTAGACATTAATCTCTTTTAATAATAGTAATTAAATTATTAAGATTCAGGTAAAATAAAACTCGAATTTAAAAATTACCGCCGCCTTTTTATAAAAATTGAAAACAATAACGGTCATTTTTTTTCACCGAGACACTTTTTTTTGCATATCTCAATTTTCTCGTCTTTGATATTTTTATCCTTGTCTGTATATATAACATTAAGTCATTAATCAAATGATTTGTATGATTCATCTCTCTCTGTCTCTCTCTCTCTCTTTCGCTCTCCACAATCCCATTAAAAAGAATACCACACAAAAGAAAATCATAAATATGAAAGTTTATTTATTTTTAAAAGGGGAGAATCTAATCTCACTCAACTATTTTCACCTCTCTACATTAGAGGGTACATCAATTATTTAATTTCACAAGGGAAATATCTCTGGAAATCGAATTAGCATTCGAGATTACCTCCAGGAGAAGCACCAATTTGGCTACAATATTTGGTGTACAAATCAATTCTAGCTCGAACTTTGGCAGCTTCTTTTCCACCACATTCAACATCACCAATAATGGCTTTAATTGTAGCTCCAAATCCTTGAGTCACAACAGGCCTGACACTGGTCATCCAATACCAGAAGGCAGTTTTAAATGCAATAATAGGATCTCTGGCCACAATTTCAGGTGATTTTAACCCATCAAAGTTGTTTTTATTGCCAGCAGGTCCATAATTGTAGTTCCATGTTAGTTGCAGAGGACCTCGCCCGAAGTATCTCTTGCCTGGAGCACATGGATAGTCTCTGTATTGTGGGGAAGTGTCACATTAGTTCTTATCAGCAGGAACATTTTGCTCTTCTGTATTATAGTCTCTGTATTGTGGGGAAGTGTCACATTAGTTCTTATCAGCAGGAACATTTTGCTCTTCTGTATTGCAAAAATCTGAAAAAAAGAAAGTCAAAAGCAAAACCCTTTTTAGGCAATTTCATATATACACTGAACTATTACCATTACATTTGATTTGTTTGAAATATCTGCATATGCAGAATTCTACGTTGCACCGAAACAGAAAAGAGGAAACGGGTAACGAGGAACGATATGGGGAAACCACGTTTATAATACAATTTTACATGAAAAAACGGTATTTTATACACGAAAACTGATGCGGAGAAACGTTTCCGAAACACGGAGACGCTCATGCCTAGGAGTTTCCATGCATCGTAGGCAAAATTCAAAGCAGAAATAGAAAAATGAAGAAACTTACATCCAGTCTCATGGGTGGCATGCGCGAAAAAAGCTGCAATCTCACGTTTAGAATCATCACTAGAACCAACTTGTCCAAAATTAGAATATGATGTAAGAGCTTCAAGAAATGCATTTCTTGAATAGAAGTTCTTGCCAGGACAATCTGCAGGAGCTTGATTAATTATAGCATTAAAGAAATCTTGAGTGACAATATCAGGCACAGAAACACCACTGCTAGGGGTTGGGGAACACGGGCCCGATTTGCTAGGGGTTGGGGACACGGGCACCGATTGGGCATCCCAGGGCCACAGTACTCTTCTATCCTTCCCACATACCCAAATTCCCTTACAACATTCGATCCTTGTTAACCCCCAATTTCTGACCTAGGAATATGCGCAATTTAACTGTGTTGCATAGTATAACGCTGGACAATATTCCAATAGTAAACTACGTATCTGCCCGCCCTCCTCCCCCTGTCATGAGTTATTTACGAACAACTTGGGTTCTCATATTTGGTGGAGTGTAGATAAGTTAATTTGAAATATTTGATGGACTGACATAGTAATAATGACGCTAAATTATACTTTCAGACTGAATGAAGTAAATTATTTATGACGAGGATGATTTGGAATTAACAATTTATGATATAAAACCTAAGAATGTACCTACGATGGCATTCTTCAATATTACATGCAAGAATTATTGTGAAGGTGATGGTCATGAACAATGGGTTTCTCATATTTTGGTGGAGTAACATTTTGAGAGAGATTAGTTTAGAGACTAAGAGAAAATTGAGTGACAGATGCATTCCAATAAGATATGCAGTGGTTATTTTATAGTGTTACGAAAGTTGAAAGACTACCCATGAGCATAGACCAGTGGTTGCGTACTCATGTTATTTGGTAATTGAAAATTTAGGAGTTATTATATTTTTAAATATTAGTATAGAAGTTGAAATTTTTATATCATAAAATTGTTTAATTCAATTCCTCGTTAAAATTTATTTTCAAAGTTTTAGCTTAATTATCCATAATTCAATTATATCTTACCACTCGTAATACTCATGCATTCTATAATTCTGTATATTTTTAGGTTATAATAATTTCAATTCCTCTCCTAATCACTGAAATTTATCATAAATTTTAAGATTGTATCATTGCCTCGAATTTCAAATAATTAAGAAACTAATTTCAAGATGGTAAAAATTTCAAGTAAAATTTTTTACTTATTATTTTCAGTAAATTTTATTTTGATTGAGATTTTATTAGATGCTATATAAATAAGCTTTATCAATTAAATTTAAAATTATCATGCACTTGTCAATCATATATAATATAATTAATTTTCTCGCTTTTTTAAAAATTATTATATTCTTTTTTATTAATTCAGTCGCTAAATTATTTTCTCGCTTTTCCTATATATTTTAAGAAGGGGAAACCTCACAACATTCCAAATTCTTTTAACGAATGCTCATTATATTGTCTGATTTTCCATTTTTTTAAAAAAAAATGCAAAAAATGTATAAAATTATGTAATATTTCATCGTGTTTCATGCCACGTCAACACCTATAAGCACAAACTAACGGTATTACTAAATGATTAATTTATAATAATTCAGTGATTAATTGCTTTTAAAAGTTCATTGCCTACGTCTGGTATACGTGTGGTTTTATTAATTAAATCAATAAAAAAATAAGATTTTTTTTAAAAAAAATTTTAAAAGTGTGGACTCAGAAACCTTTCATGTCTAAGCAATTATTAAGGTCCATTTTCAAAGATAATAAAAATTCAAATAAAATTTTTGACTGATTTTTATTAAGTGATATATAAATAATTAAGTTTTATGAATCAATTTAAAATAAATAATTATATACCAAAACATAATCTAATAATAAATATATATACAATCTGATAATAAATTTAAATCGTTATTTTCAATTTTTTGATCTTAAAAAATTAAATTTTAAAATTTATAGTCTTTGGGGACCGTTAAAGTTTGGTTTGATTGATGTGTCCAAACGTAAGCAAGTCATCATTAAAGAGTTACAAAGTCTAATGTCTAAATCATTAAATATCAAAAGATAAGAATATATATATATATATATATAATTTATATATATATATATTATATATATATATATATATATATATAATTGTCATGAATAATATTATTTGCTCATGAGTTACACTAAAGTTCAATCAATTACTAAAATTTTCATGCCTAGAAATTTAAAATATGAATCTTGTAGCCTAAGTAAAATGGAAATATATATATTTTTTTTCCAGTGTGGATGAAATGTATTATTTAATTCAATTTACATACATTTAATAAATTAAAATAACTAATTATAATGTGCAAAAATTAATCCATCATACTATTATAGCTGTTATTAAACAAACTATATTTCATTATTCATCGAGAGATTTAATAGACCAAAATAGTACTATAAACTACATAAGAACGGTGACTCTTTCTTAATGTCAAATTAGAAAACTCTTATAGTTGAGAGAATTCAATCGTAAGATCTATTAATTGTCATTAATCAGTAAATCTATTTACGTATTCAAAAATTATTACTACTTATTATTAGGTTAGATGATACATATATATACTCTAAATTAATAATAAATTTCATATACTTAATATATAAAATATGATAATACCATTCTGATAAAAAGTGATCCTATCTTTTTTTTTTTTTTTTAATTTATGTTCTAAAGATATAACAATAAGTCAAATTAAATATGTAATGTCACGTGTCAACCAAGAAAAAAGACAAGTTTGGTTTTTACGGATAGATTGGAAAAGTCTAGCAAATTACCCATTGCAAAGATTTTTCTTTTTTTCTCTGTCTTTTTTTTTTTCCCCACGGCAATTGAACATCGTCAAGGTAAACTAATTCTTGTTTGATCCTTTTCCTATACATTTCAAGAATAAGAAACCTCACAACATTCCAAGGTCTTTTCTTCGTTAGATTTTCTGATTTTGCAATTTTTTTTTATAAAAAAAAAAAAAAAAAAAAAATTTTATAAAAAAAAAAAAAAAAAAAAAAAAAAAAAAAAAACTTCCCACATGCTTGTCAATATAATCCAAATTGATGTTTTGTGCAATGAGAAAAAGCTAATGGAAGCTCTAAATTATCTCAACATGGTTAGCTTTTTAATAGCCTTTAGTGTTTTGACCGGTCAAAACACTAAAAGCTATTTAAAAAGCTGATATTAAATATTAACATAGCATTTAAACTAACTTTTAAATGTTAAGGTAACGTTTTATAAAAAGCTAACTAATGTAACGTTTAGTTTTTAATGTTTATGAAAAGCTATCAAAACAGCTAATTTTGTCGAACAGACCCAACGTGAAATATTATTGTCAATTATAGTTGTTATTTGATTGGTCTTCCTGCGTCTTGTAATAGATATGAGAAGTGAAAAGTCTCGAGTTGAGTCATCTTTAGTACAAAAGTTATCATTAATGTTATTCCGTTTCATTAGGTCTTCAAAATGTAAAAAATAAACTAGTTATAACGATAAAGATTATTTTATTTCATTGAAGCTAGTTTACATAATCTCCAAGGATGAACTAGCTTCTAATTATTTCTGCAACTCAAACAAGGATAGATAATGAATTACAGGAGTACATTACTTATTTAGCAACCCTATTTATTAAATTAAACAAGAACTAAATTTTAATTAGCAACTCAGATTATCCCCAGGTGCAACTCCAATCTTGTTGCAATAATCAGTGTAATAGCCAATCCGAGCCTGAACTACTTGAGGATTTCCACTATTACATTCAATTGCACCATTCATGGCTCTAATGGTGGCTCCGAAACCTTGCGTTACGACAGGGCGTACATTGGTCATCCAAAACCAGAGAGCTGTCTCAAACGACACAACAGCATCATTTGCAACAGTTTCAGGAGAGTTTAACAAGTCAATGTTAAGGCTTTGACCAGCTCCACCATAGTTGTAGTTCCAGGTTAGTTGAATCGGTCCGCGGCTGAAATATTTCTTTCCTGGGGCACATGGATATTGTGTGTATGATTCGTCGCAGTAGTTTTGGGAAGCACCGTTTACCTTTTCTATGTAGCAGAAATCTGAAAAATTTATCATCCAAAATGTTCTGTTTAAAATCTGAAAAATTTATCATCCAAAATGTTCTGTTTAATCCACGATCAATTAGAATATATTGTTTTTAATTTTAAAATAATAATCAAATTGGATACAAATATGCAGCATACTTTTGGTAGACAAGGATAAAGAGAACTTCATTAAACTTCCACACCTAGGAAAGGTGAACAAATGGTCAGTTCGATTTGAACTGAATCGAACTAAGATAAAAAAAATGCAAACTGAAGTTCTTTAATGACAGATCGAACTGAAATTAATATTTGACAGAACTAACTCAATCGATTTTGGTCGATTTTTGCCATATTGGTTTGGTTTTAAACTCAACCGATGAATTTCTATGAAATTGCCTCAAACCAAACAACAAATTCTATTCAAATCGACTGACTGATAAATCAAATCTTTTTTTGAACAGTTGACTGAATCAAACCAAAATGAAATGGGTAAGTTTGATTTTCGTTTCTTTCGTTTCGATTGGTGGTTTTACATATCTTTACACTTAATCAATTATTGACTAAATGGGAGGTTAATTTCTCATGTGGAACTGAGGAGAAGGAGCACTCACATACCATCGAGATCGGGGGCTCCAACACAAGACATGATTTAAAAAGGTAATATTCGATATTTCTATTTGAGTATACTATTTATTAATTTTAAAATAATAATCAAATTTAATAAATATATAGCACACTTTTAATGGACAGGATAAAGTGAAGTTCATTAACTTTTCAAATTTAGACAATTGCTGACTAAATGCGAGATCAATTTCCCACCTGAGATTCAGGAAAAGAGGCACTCACATTCTTTCAAGGTATGAAGTCTCCGTACGGAGAAATGATTTAAAGAAAATTTGATTTAAAAAAAGTGTAAAGATTCTAGTATTTTTGGGTTGGCATAGAATCTTATATTTTCTAGGAAAAATCTAAATACAGTTAATAAAAATAAGACAAGAAAGGATTCTTACGGTCCAGTCTCATGGAAGTACATGGAGCAAAAAAAGCAGCAATCTCACGCTTTTGCAATCCATCACCTCAGCGTTACCAAAAGTCAGGAAATGAATTGAGAGCATTAAAGAAATTGCAGTTCTCTAGTATAGAAATCTTTGCCAGGACAATCAGCTTCCAGCTGATTGATTATTCCATTTAACGAAATCAAGCGCCCAAGTAACCAATATCTCCCACAATTTTGATGGCAAACCAACCACTGAAAACGTTCTTTTCCATTGTTGCAATTTATAAACAATGGATAAGACTGATGGCAAGCACAGTTTTTCCAAGTACAGCCATTTTTGGATTGAAGTCCAGTAACAAATTACGGAGTCAAGTCTATGTTCTTGTGGTTGTTGTTATAGAAGCGGTGGAGGTAGAGTGAGGGTTATTTATAGTGATAAAGTTAGGGTATTTATGGTGACTTTTAAGTTGGTTAGTATAAAATCAGAATGAAACGGTTATAATCCTATAATTTTTATTATTTATTATTATTGGTTTATTTTTATGTCACATAGAGTTTACATTAAGACGGTATTTGGTAACCACGGAATACTTTAAAATTAAATTTTGCGCAATATTTTGTGCTGTTTGATAATTTAACAAAATTAATCTATTTTAATAGTTGGTCTCATTGTTTACGCAGTTACACGATTTTTTACTACCATTTGTCAGACATCTCAAATTTTAAAACCCGTAAGATAACAAAACTCTAGACGTAATCAAATACACTTTCTTTAAATAAATGGAAGTTAAAACATCTCTTAAACACTGCTCAAACTACACTACATAACTTAAAATGATAAGTTAAGAATTTTAGCTTAAAAACTTGCCAATGAATTTCATGAAACTGTATTGGATCTTTAAATTAAATTTCCAATTATTTCCAAAAGGAAATTAATAATAAGTTTACAATTTTAAATTTTAACATTTATGTTAATCTAGCCACTTATCAATACTCAATTTTTAATTTTATTAAATGCAGCTTTCAATTTTCCTATTCACGTGGGGGATAAGGGCGCCGTAACATGACCTGTTACGCCCGAGGACAGTCAAATCCAAATTCCAACTCAACTCGATGGTTTGAAGATATATGGTTGGATTGAACGACGTCATCTTTAAATTCACGGATTGGGCTTTTAAGTTACGCGGTTCATTAAAGATAAACCCGTAACCGACCCTTAAATAATATATGTGACTGTATTATGAACATTATTTAGCTAATTGATTTGATTTATAATACTAAAATTCTTATAACATATTTAGTAGAACATGACTTTTAAATAATTGCGGAATTTGTCGCCTATTGCGGCAAGTATTTGCTAATTTATTGTACACTAGTATATACTATATTATATATATTATATATATATATATATACTACTACTAACATATAATATATATATCAAACACCTCACACAACCTACTATTTTCTTTTTCTAATTATATTACTAACAGGACATGTCCTCTATCCTTATTACGAACAACAATTTACAACTTTTTCAATTATTGCATTATGTATATGTGCATACATCGATGATAACACCAACATGATGATCACTGTTACACAGAACACATCTATCCTCAATCTCTTTATATCGACATTCATTACCGCTAGCTTGTGACAATATATTGTTTATTTACTAGTCATTTTAAGTATATCTTACATCTTTCTCAATAAATTTCTCCTCTCATTCTTTACGTTTGCACCCGAAACGAAAAGAGCGGACACTCGTAACGAGGAAACACTATGGAGAAACCACGTTTAATACAATTTTTCACATCGAAAATAACCCGGTACTTTCTATAACAGGAAAACTGATGCGGTAGAACACTCCGTCCATCTCCCGTAAACACAGAGACAATTTCATGTCCTAGGAGTTTCCATTGCATCGTTGAGGCCAAAATTTCAAAGCAGAAATAGAAAAATGAAGAAACTTACACCCAGGTCACATCCGGTGGCACTGCGCGAAAAAAGCTATTGCAAAATCTTCACGTTCTAGAATCATTGCTAGAACAACTTTGTCCAAAAAATTAAGAATATGATTTAAGAGCTTCACAGAAATGAACTTTCTTGAAATAGAAGTTCTTGCCAGGCACAATTGTGCTGGAGCTTCGATTTAATTATCAGCATTAAAGAAATCTTGAGTGACACAATATCAGGGCCACAGACAACCACCCACTTGCTCATGGGTGGGGAACACGGGCCCGATGTGGCATCCAGGGCCACAGTACTCTTTATTCCTTCCCACAATACCCAAATTCGCCTAACAACATTTCATCTTGATTTAACACCACAAATTTTGACCTGAATTGCGTTCTGGGCTAGCAGCAGCGGGCTATTCATAATTAACCACACAATTTTTTGATCTTAATGCGTTTCTAGGCAGTAGGGCTATTCAAGACATTATTGTGAGGTGCATGGTCATGACAATCGGGATTTCTCATATTTTTGGTGGACCAGATAAACATTTTGAGAGAGATTAGTTTAGAGACTTAGAGAAAATATTGGCACAGTGTACAGCCATGCATGCCCGCAATAGCACTTATGCAGTGGCATCATTCTACTTGGCTACGGAAAAGTTTGCAAAGACTACCATGAGCTCTTAGCCGACCAGTTGACGCTTGCACGTTCACCTCCTCTATTTTGGGTAATTTGAAAAGTTCAGGAGTATTATATTTATAAATATAATATAGAAGTTGAACAATTTTTATATCTATAAAATTGTTTAATTTCTAATTCCCTCTGTTAAAATTTATTTTTCAATTCTCAAGTAAAAATTTCTATTAACTTAATTCTACATTTTTCGGTAAAATTATAATATTCTGATGAGATTTATTAGAATGCTATACTAAAATCACAGCACTTTATTCAAGTTAAATTGTAAAATTATCAAACACACTCTGACACATCTATATTTAATATGCATAATCTTCTCGTATTATTTAAGAATTTTTATATTATTTTTTCAATAAATTCGACGCTCGGCTAAAATACACCAACACCGATTTCTTGTTCGATCAAAAATCTTATAGTAAAGTAAATTTTTTATAGTAGAAAAATATTTATATTATACAGTACATAATAATATTAATCTTCCGACATCATTTTTACCAACAACTAATTATATATACAGGAAGAAAGGCCGCTTAATGCAAGTGTTGTTCACAATGAAAACAGCGCATCTCCATTTGACGTGTTAGACATTGGGGAAGTCTTCATACATAATACATTCGCCCGTCTGCTTTATAGGTAGTGTCTTTCTTGTCTTTATGGAACGGTTTTGGCTACACACTCTGCACTTAGTGTCCAAAAACACACACAAGACTCCTTCATCAATCCTACTTATATGAAATTAAACGAGGTTACAAAAGTTCAACATATCAATCACTAAAAACACCATTTATTGCAATCAAACCGGTACTTCTCATTATTGATGCTACACACGCTGCGTTTGGCGCTTAAAGTACGAGATCCGATCGTTGACTCTTCCATGTCATGGCACTAAATACTCAATCCCATAGCAAACCCAGTTCTACCTCTCAGTGGGCCCTTGACTCAGCTGCAAACATAACTTTATCTTCTTGTCCAGTGGGCTGATAGCATCACCTGTTGCATTAAACACAAAATATCACATATATCTCCCTATGTTACTATAACATTTCACACCAACATTACGTATAAAACTTCCTATGAGTAACGTTACAAATGACCACATATATTATAACTCTTTTCTTCTCTACTCATGGTGGATAAAAGTATTAATCCCTTCACCTACTATAATAATCAATTATAATGTGCAAAAATTTAATTTCACTATTTTACAATCTGTACATATAATAGCCCCATTCACTTAGCTAAATCTTTTGTAACGCTATTACGCACTGTAAATTAATAAATCATACTAAACTCTCATCGCTCTGTTTAGCATTCTATATTCTTAACGACACTTCTTTTGGAAATTCTTTTTTATTTTTCTTAAATTTAATTATCTACTTATCAAAATCTACAAATTTTCTATAAAGCACCACTCCACTCCGGACTTGATATTATTACAACTAAATTATTTTAAAATTTAGATGTTCTCACGAGACGACATACTACTACAAATCAATCTCGATTGGTCCACCATCGAAAAATTATTCCAATCCTACACATACTGTCAACTCGCCCGAACGTAGGTCGCACCCACCGAACAAAAAAAACACGTCATTGATCTAAGATCGAATCACGAGCCCCCCTCTAGCCACAACACTATCGATTCGTATCCATCACCCCAAATGATTTTCTCTTACATCTCTGTTTACTTCTTCTTATTTCCCACAAGATATGATAAACATACTACGCGACTCACCCAAGCACCACATATCAAGACTAAAAATTAACATTCACCATAACCCATGTTATTGGTCCAACCAATTTATACCTACTCATCAATCTTCAGCACGGAAAATAAACCCTCCACACAATTCAAAATCTTTCGATCTACCATGAATTGCTCACCATGTCAGTCAGGCCTTTCTGTTGTTATTTACTGTCTGATTTTCCTTCTTCTCTAAAAAAAAACATAAACCAATGCCAAATGCTATTAAAATATGATCATATTTATATTCCATGTTCTCATGCCACGTCAACACCTATATGCACAAAAACTACACGGTATCGACTCGATATGCATTAATTCATAACTAATATCAAACGTGACTCAATTAATACCTTACCGGCGCAATTTCATATGAGCTTCTATTCATTCCGGTACCATGTGTAGAATTTCATAAACTTACAATCAATTAAAAAAAATAAGATTTTTTTTTTAAACAAATTTAACAACTGTGGACTCCCAGTAACCTTCAGTATCTAAGCAATTATTGAATTAACGTAAGTTCCATTCAGTACTAATAAAAAATTTCAATAAAATTATTTGACTGATTTTTATTAAGTGATCATATAAATTAATTAAAGTTTTTATGAATCAATTTAATAAATCATATTCAAGGGCATTACATAACTATAGTCGTTAAACACATATTTAACTTAGTAATTAGATTTAGATGGAAATCTCTATTTTTGAATCTCAAAAATTAAATTTAAAATTATTAATCACTTAAAAATTAATTTAAAAAAAATTTCTTTTTTTTTTTTTTTTGGTAAAAAAAAAAAAATTTATTAGTCTTCTGTAGCATTTATCACCTGCTAACAGAACTGAAGTTTCTTTCTATTCTAGTGTCCACCCAACTCAACAACCTGCACAACTTAATGCAGCTGACTCTTAAACTCAGCTTACGTGAATAATCAGTCCACTCAGTCCAGGACTCCACAGTATCTATTTAGTTCCGGAAAAAATATACTTACTATGCCCACTAATTTAATATTTTACTATTACCTAACTTCTTCTTACGAGTCATATTTGCGCCATAGATTTAGTGCGGTAGGAACAATATTTCACAGATCTGACAATTATCTATTGGAGAGTTTATCGTATTAAAGACACTAAATATATCTAGAGTGAGTTATATTAAGAAAAATGAGGACATTACTTATCGCTCTGACGTTAATTTAATTAATTGGTTGGGAGCTAAACATAATAAGTAAATGAGCACATTATTTTGAAAATATTCAGAGACCTAATTGGAATGAGACAATTAACTTAGGACTTGATACGTCATACACTCACACAACTCTTTGGCTTATAGAAATTAGCGAAGTTCAAATTTGGACTTTGTCACCTTAAAAGTTCATCACCACAACCACTTTTTCTTTCTTCTCTTCTCCATTCTCCACTCCGCCATTTTCCTCTTCTTCTCTTCTTATTTTTCTCTGATTTCTCTATCACCTCCCACACATATCACCTACACCAAGGCCATACCCAAATTCAACCCATTGAAAGTCAGTAATTCACATTATAACGAACTTAGCAGTCACCGCTTCGAGATGAGTTATCATGGAATTGGCGATTAAAAGCAAAAGAGAAGTGAAGTTCACCCAAATTGAAAGACAGTTAAGTTGATGGCGGTTTTACGATGTTTTGTGAATTAATAAGTAGAATTCCATGCGAACTTTAGCAACATGTATCATTGACTGCATAACTAACAATCACTTGCTCGCAACTATTTCTTTTGTCAAGTTTGCCTTCTTAATGTGATTTCTCATGACCTCCTTGGACAGAGAGTTGGGAGAACCATCCTCCAAGAGTTAATAAGAGAAACAGCCAAGGAGTAAAGGCTTCTTCAGCTTATTCACAAGCTTGTTAATAAGTTCAGTGGGCCAAAATTTCTTTTTTTCTTTTTTTTTTCTATATTCTCCACCCCAATTAACAATTCTTTTTTTTCTCTTTATTTCTTTTTTTCCCTTTCATTTCGCTTAAGGTTGTTTTTCACTGGTTAGGTATTTTCGAATCGATAATTTTTGGGCAAACTTTGCTCACCTGTTTTACGGTTAATTGCGATGAATTTTTACATGTTAGATATGTCATATGAAGTAAGGGATTGGACTCATTTTCGACCCCCTTCTATACCTTCCCATTTTGTTTCTAACTTCTTCATAAAGTTGTAGCTCCTCATTTACTCCAGCCTTTCCAAAACATATTTTTATTGTCTAAATTCCCAATACTTAGTAGCTCACACTTATGATTTAAATACACCACAAAACTAAGCGTTCTACCTTTATGGTGTCGCTTACTTGATATATCCGAAATGATTGTCATTTTGACAACTCAAATGCACAAAATAGAATTGTCTTATGTTCATTATAAAGTCTGTATAGTTACTTCTTAGCTTTACCAACCATCCTCTTGTCGAATCCAATTTTCGGAGATTTACATAGCTCAACTTTATGGCTGAAATACCTAAAACTGACTTCTCGTAGTGTGTGGGCCAACACTGCATCCACTAAATCTAACGACCGCTCACCGACATGGGTGCCCATTTGACCACTATAATGACAGATTAGGTTCTGAGTTTCTTCTATAAAAAGTTGTTAGCCTATGTCTTGAGACTTCTTCGTCGTTCTATATTGCGTTTAATTTGAGTGTTTGGTTTAAGTAGGAATTCAATATAAAAAATTGGACTTGGTTGCCTAAATCAGGTCTTGATCTCACTTGGTCTGTGTTCCCTAGCTTTTGGTTTGCTTATGTTACCGATTGATTTGCGGCCTGGTGGTCCCTTCTTAACATTTGTAACAATTTTTGTTCTTAGCTTTCTAATGAATCTAATTTCATTCAATTAGAGGCTCATTAAACTCACAGTTATGTTTTAAAAACCAGCAAGGTCATGTTTATTGAAAATGCTTGAAAGTTCTTGATTTTATGTACTTTTATACTATCTTAAGTAGATATATCTAATAGTGTTTTGAGTAAGAATTTTGAAATGCATGGGTATTAAGAAATGAAATTTTGGAAATGATGGGTATTAAGAAAATGAAAGAGCTTTGTGATTAAGAATTTATTACTTGTGAAGAGATGATTTTGATTTGGGGTCTACTATTGGCATTGATTGAAATGTGGTATGATGAGATTGATTTTGTTACCGTGAAGCTATGATCATTATGCTTAGGGTTATCTTGCCCCTTAATAAATAGGCGGACGCGCCTTTATCTGTTTTGATGCGGAGGTTTGATGCATTTCACCCATAGGCCCCACGATGTGTGATGGGGATGACGTCTAACATAGGCACGCATCAAATCTATTTTGTTCATCTCTGCGTATGAGTACGAGCCTTAACTTCAAAGAATGAAATTTATTATTTGCTATAACAAAGCAATGGAGAACCAGCAAATATTGCTATTTATAAATTGTCCCTTATTGCTTTCCAAAGCTATTTGAATTAACCATACGACATCGCAACGATTTCGACCACCACGGACTATTTATCATAGAACGTTGCATAACTTTAAAGCATTTACTGAGACTTGACCGTCTGGCTATCTTGTTCATTTTAATTTGTTCGCGCTTACTTTGGCTACTCACTGAAGTTTCACCACTCAGCCGCGCTCGATTATTTCCTCACCAACGCAGCGTTAGGGCAACAAACGGTGTGTTTCTGCCAAGACCACGCAGGGCCAGTTAGCATCAGAAGATCCAGATCATCAACATTTCCTTCGGCGATAGAGATATTTTGTAAATGTTGATTTTTGGCACACTCGCTACTTCCTTAGAATATTGTGTTGTGGAGGTTTTACTAGTAATCAGTTTATATGTATTAAGAGTTATTTATCTGAGGAAATAAGTCTATTCTAATTCATATCTTTTGGTGCATATGCCATGTTAGCTTACTTGACCAGCCTTTATTTCGCAAGTGTTACGAATTTGCTACAAGTAATAAACTGATGGGTTAAAGGATATCGTTCCCACGAAGATTGTAATCCAAGTACCCAAAACTTAGTGTTATTTCTCAATTATTATTTAAAGGACCTAATTGAGAGAAATTGGTTTATATAAATGTAAAAATTAAACAAGAGTCACGCTAAACAAAAATTGACTAAAAGAAATTCAGGAACTTGAAACTACTTAGGGGTTTTTGATTTCACTAATTCTGCCTCCAATTTATTTCATTAGCTCATTAATCCAACTTATAATTATTTCAAGTAGGGGAACAACTATGAATTCAACATCAACAACGCTTCTTGCCAGATCTTGTATTTCTAGCTATTTTAAATTCCATTTAATTACCTATCTTCCAATAGCCGCAATCAAATCATGATTAAATCATTAAGTTATGTAAGTTGTTTATGATTCTTACAAGTTTAAGCGTTTTGATTAAAATCATGAAAAACCCCCATGATCGTCAAAACCATTATAGCCTTCCGCATTTCAAAGGTCTTATTCACCTCTCATGGGTTTTTTACTTAACCTTTTCATTCAAAGCATCCTTCTTTCGATTAGTTGATAATTGAAATAAATCAATTTAGGGGAAGAATTCTGCCTAGAACATTAAGTTCTTTAACTAAATCATAACTTGATAAGAAAATAAAATCTAATTGCATAAATTGGAAAAAGAGATTTAAACTACATCAAAACCCCTAGTATAAGGAATTTAGTTACACATCGCGTACTTTAAACTAAAAAACTCAATAATACTTGTAAATATTCCCATAACTCAATAAGAACAATTGAAACAAGAAATTAACAATTAAGAGTTTAGAAATAAGAACACTTAGTGATTAAATTTGCTGTGGATGGCCCTTCCTTGAAACTTTGCAAAACTCATTGAATACTTAACTTCTAAAAGAAAATAAAAACTACTGTACAGGGACTAGCAGAATGACGAGACTATATGAGATGGAAAGATGAGGATGATTGGGATGAATTTGGGATCCTTCCTCGTCTTTATATAGATTTCTTGGAGAGAAATTCTACATTGGTTTAGGGAATAAATTCCACCTATGTTTAGGGAATAAAGTTCTCATTAGGCATTAAAATTTCTCTCAAATCTTGTTCTCTCCATGTGCATAGATTAGGAACTTGATTTGCATGTCGAAGAAAGTTATCCAAGGTAAGCTCATTGAAGATGCATAAGGAATTGGTTGGAAATTCTGTCTTAACCATCCAGCACTCTTGGATATTAGGCACGGGCGTGCCTTGGACGCCAGTCATGGGGCTGTGCTAAAATATTTTTGCCTTCATTTTGTCCTTTTCTGTGCAAAAAAACCCTCAATTCCTTAAGGATCAACGTGACTTTATGATCAAGGAAAGCTTTTATATTGCAAACATAAATAAGAATTAAGATTAAAAACTAAATAAGTACATTTAAAATACTAAAAAACTTTATAAAAATCGTACATTTAAAATACTATAAAATAACACTTATCAACAATTCCCCAAATTAAATCATTGCTCTGTCCTCAAGCACAAAAACTAAAAAACTAAAGAAATCTAGCCGCTTAAATATAGTAGGAATAATTTTTCACAAATTTCAATAGTATCAAAAGTCATTAACATGAGAAGATAATGTATTTCCTATGCCTAATTATTAATTCTAGCAAAAATTCAATTTTCAATAAAACACATTCCTTTATCTTCAAACAATAAGTTAAATAAGATTTTAACACCAACAATTATTCAACTTATGATAGGTAGAGTATTGAATTTTTCAACAAAAAATTCATTTAACTTTAAACAACGAGATTCAACATAATAAGTTCAACAATTCCCATTAGGCAAAATTAGTTCTCCCTTCTCCACAATTGAAATGCATACAATTTAAAAGATCAAAAGGTCTTTATGTAGGTTGTTAATGGGGTTTTAGGGATATAATCTTAGCTAAGGTAAAGAAAAGGCATACTATGTATACAAAAGTACAAATAATGTTTAATATCAGGCATTTTCATTTATATTAAAACGAAAATTTTTTATGTGTAAAAGGGGAAACCTAACTTTGAAGTTCTATTACTCAGCTTGAAATTAGAGACTATTTTTGGGCAAGGTCTCTCATAAGCACTCTTTGATTATATTTTCTCCCTTGCTAAAGTTTCCCAAAATTGAATCTTGATTAATTGCTTCTTCCTTACGGCGGTTTTTTTTCTTTCTTTTTATTTTTTTTATTTTTTATTTTTACTTATATCTTTTTTTTCATGCTAGTATTAAAATGAAATTTTCTTTCCCTTTGTTGCTTATGTTTTATAAAAATTAATCCTTCAATTTCATAGCATTATTGGCACTTAGGTAGAAAATTAAATTATGGATTTCATGGGCTAGGTTAAATATGCGTGGTGAACAATAAAAATCTTCTTGCATATAGGCTTCAAATTGATTCAAAGGACTCATACTTTCTTCAGGTCTGGTCTAAGCTTTAGATATGGGCGTTATTTAACACAAGAACGCCATAAACTCACATCTTCTTTTTAAACTGTAAGCACAAAAAAAAATTTGGTCTATTGAAGAAAATTCTAATCTGTGTCTAGGGCATATGCCAAGGTTAAATAACATTTTGATTAAAACACATCCGTATTCATATCATTAGAAATTTCACCAAAAAAAACATTAGACCAGTGTTTATTAATTAGTAAACAACAATAGATTAAATTCAAAGAATTCATGTTAAGTCAAAAATTAAAACTATTCAAGCTGAAAAAATAATTAACTATTCGAAAAAAACAACTAAAATTCATTGCAAGTTTAATGGAAATTATGACTAATTTTTGAAAACTTGCTCACAATTATTCCAACCATATTAAACTACCATCGAAATAACCAAACAAAAAAAAATAAATTTTCAACTAAAATTTTCCCTTTTCCCAACTTAATGAGCAACCATTGTCCCAAATGTGTGTGCAAAATAAGATCAATTTCCCCAAACTTATCGCTCCTCATATTAATCAATGCAAGATTAAGAAATAAAGTAAAGTAGAAAACACATCTTTACCCACCATTACACTGACAAATACAATAAAAGCACAAGGAAACAAAGACACTAAGTTTTAATGGCTAACATGCTGAAAATGGGGAAGGCAAATAACATAACACAATATCAATATAATAATAATAATAATAATAATAAAAACACTAGACCTATGTTATAAAAAGAAAAAAATTACTAAAAATTCCTAATAAAAGGCCAAATAATAACAAAAATAAAAAGAAATTTTTAAACGTAAAGTCTTTTTTTTTAAAAAAAAAAAGAAAGAAAAATATGAATAAATTAAAAGTAAATCAATTAAGAAGAAGAGAAAAAAAAAATGAAACACGATAAAGTCAAAAAGAACAGAAGAAAGAATTGCAAAAGTGGGTAGAGTAGGACATGAAGCAGAAAGAAGTAAGTAGAAAGAAAAAGAAAACAAATTTA